CCCTAAACCCTAAACCCTAAACCCTAAACCCTAAACCGGCCTTCTTTGGCTCAAATCCCAGGGCGCGCATGGCGACCTTGAGCTCTTTGGAATCAATCTCGCCTGGCGTTGTTTTGTGAGTTAGGGGTTAGGGTTTAGGGTTTAGGGTTTAGGGTTTAGGGTTGCGATTTGCCAAGGAATTTGTTGCAAAAACCGATGGGCATGGTGCTTGCGATGTAGGATTTGGGAAAGGCTTTTCCAAAAAACGTCTAAGGGAAACGGTGCTTGCGATCTGCTATTTGAGAAAAGACTTGTTCCCAAAAGACGCGGTGCTTGCGATTTGCTATTTGGGAAAGGAACATTTTTTCCAAAAAGTAAGGGACACGGTGCTTACAACTTAGGATTTGGGAAGGGGTAGTTTCCAACATTCATGGGGACTCAGTGCTTGCGATTCTTCTTTTTGAGAAACGAATCTGTTCCAGAAACCTACGTGACACGGTGCTCGTAATTTGGGATTTGGGAAGGGGTAGTTTCTAAGGGTCAAGGGGACACGGTGCTTGCGATTTGGGATTTGGGAAGGGCTTATCTAAAACAACTAAGGGACACGGTGCTTGCGATTTGCGATCTTGAGAAACGAATCTGTTCCAAAAACCTAAGAGACACGCACTTGCGATTTGCCATTCGGGAAACGAGTTTGTTCCGCAAGCCTAAGGGACACGGTGCTTGCGATTTGCTATTTGGGAAACGAACTTGCTTGAAAAACCAAAGGGACATGGCGCTTGCGGGATTTGGGGGAGTTTCTTCCAATCAAGGTAAGGGACACGGTGCTTGCGATTTGCCATTTGGGAAAAGAGTTTGCTCCAACAGCCCAAGGGACAGAGTTGGCCATTGCCATTTGGGAAAAGAACCAACTTGAGGGACACGGTGTTTACGATTTGCTACCGCAATCAGTGTTCCCATTTTTGACACAATATCCCCCTCAGTTGTTTGTTGCAAGAAAAGGTATCAAAATCACAAATCGCAAGCAGTGTCTATGCTTTAAACGGAACCCTAAACCCTAAACTCTAAACCCTGGATTTTTGGAAAATTCGAGCCGGCTCGAATTTCCAAAAGAATGCTGAAACCATGGCTGTGTGACCCCAAGGCCTCATAGATGACATAATTTTTGTTTTTTTCGGAAAATTCGAGCCTGCTCGAGTTTTCGCGACCTGGTGCTTCGAGAATTATCGGAAAATTCGAGCCGGCTGGAATTTCTAAAAAAATATGCTGAAACCATGGCTGTTTGACCCCAAGGCCTCATAGATGACAGAATGTAGGTTTGTTTGGAAAATTCGAGCCTGCTCGAGTTTTGGCGACCTGGTGCCTCGAGAATTTTCGGAAAATTCGAGCCGGCTCGAGTTTTCCCTAAATCTCTTGAAATCTGACTGCGAAATTTCACACAATCAGTAGCATTAGTTACTAATTCTAATTCAACTGTTAAGTTTCTCATTTATTTTGACAAAAAATATTGAAATTGTGAGAAGAGGCCACGCAATGGCTTATTCTTAAACCCTTGACATTTAACATAAGAATTCCCTTTGTGTAATTTTAAAACATAACTTATCATTGAGGATATCTTCGGGACTAAATGTCTCCATTATATATTTTATATTTTATACTTATATTTAACCAAACAATTTAAAACTATATGAGTTTTCTTTACTATTGTTCTTCTTCTTACCTTTCACCTCCTTAACTGCTTCTACTTCAGTATTCTCAACTAACTTTCTTATCTCTTCGTAAGCATTTTGTGTGACTTTCTTCTCTTTCTTCGGGTTTCTCTATTTGTTCGTATGTTGTTGCTTTCTTATGAAGCATTATTAATTTAATTTAGATCATTGAATCAAATTGTTGTAAAATCTCTTCTTCGGTAGGTAGATTTCCTGCTTTGTTTTTAACAGCGCCTACATCTTCATAAGAATGACTTTGTAGATGGTCTAATGTTGATTCAGTTGATGTTATACTTCCTTTATCAAACATACTAACGGGGTCTCCTGCTTTTCGTCTTTTTAGATTTGTCCCAGTGTCTTCTGGTCGTTGTCCTGAAAAGGAGAACCATAGCTACGACTTCTGAATACATTACCATAATCATTGTTTGATTGTTGTCCCGATGCTGAACCTAAACTGACTTATAATATCAGTAACTCCAGTATTTTTTAACCATCTACTTCAATCAAACCTTCTTGAAAGAACCTATCTGCATCTTTGCATCTTTAGAACACTGAGTCTGTTGCGTCTTATATAATTAAAGGTAGCTATAAGTCATCATAAACATCTCTACTGCTTTTAGTCCCAGCAATGTATGAAATAGAACCATTTTGACGAATCCCGTCAGGATTCTCATGCGCGATTTTAAGTCCTTGCGTGTCCGTTAAGAATGTCTCTGTCCCCGCTAATTCGTCTCTAACTTCAATATGCAGTCTGCTTCTTGTGTTAGGTGCTGTATATAAAACCCCTTCACTTCTTCTTTTATGTTTATGCATTCTACAACGGTTTTATAAATTACTTTTTCTAGTTAAATAATGTTGAAGTTCAAGAAGGTGTATTGATAGTTCTTGCAGAGTGAATGAGTGAATGACAGAGATGTGCAAACCGCACAAGACCAAATCCATAAACGGATTCTGTTTGTAGATTTCTGTTGTTTGCAAGTATAGATAATGAATAGCAAGTTGTAGCTTCAGTCATGGCAAGACACGACGAAAGTATCGTAAATACCGGCGTTTTTTCACTTCAACCATATGTGTAAGTAAGCACAGGTGCAGAAAGGGCTGCCAAGAAAAGGACACATATGGATCATGGGGAGTGGATATATATTTATATTTTTTTAGTTATTATGCTGCTACATATACATATACACAAAGAACCTCTGCAAGTTTTTTCAACAAACTTGCGAAACTGTTGGGCATGGAAGGCATGGAGGGCAAAAGCAAGCTTGGAATTTGAGCTTGTTAGGTGCCTGAGCCATCGGTGTCGAAGAGGTCGAAAGCCTCACGGCACTGCTGTGATTCACACAACGGCTGCAGTGTGCTGCACTAGGCCCAGAGCGTGTTCAGTTATCTCTGCGCCGATTCTGCTTGGATGAAATAGTCACACACACACACACACACACCCACGCGCACGCGCACGCGCACGTGCATGCGCACGCGCACGCGCACGCGCACGCGCACGCGCACGCGCACGCGCACGCGCACGCGCACGCGCACCCGCACCCGCACCCGCACCGCACCCCGCACCCGCACCACACACCCGCACACACACACACACACACACACACCTGCGCACACACACACACCCACACACACACACACACACACACACACACACACACACACACACACACACACACACACACACACACACACACACACACACACCACACACACACACACGCACACACACACACACACCACCACACACACACACACACACACACACACACCATGCACACACACATGCGCACACACACACACCACACACACACACACATGCACACACCACACACACACACACACACACACACACACACACACACACACACACACACACACACACACACCCATGCACACACACACACACCCATGCACACACACACACACACACACACACACACAGAGACACACACCACGAAGCGGTACTACCTGCAAAGGCTGTAGCGAGCGAAAGACGAGACTTCGCGTCAGTCTCTCGTCATGGCAATTCATGAATCGAAACCCAAACATCTGCGACAGGCGCCTCCTTGATCTCTTGCTTCTGCTCTTCCGTCAACTCCTCGGTCGATAAGACTTCGGGTCACAACGAGGGGTCCCAATTAGGATACCTTTGTGGTCCTCACCATACAGGACTCCGCTCTATAGGCTATCTAACTGAAGTTGGCAATACTTGTTGGCGTCCTTGCCCGGCCTTTCCTAACTGACAACACTTGAAGCGACATGCAGAGCAACCTGGAAATCCATACCTTAAAGGCTCCATACCATCATACTTACCCACAGCCGAAAAACCCTAAACTCAAACCCGCTAAACCCTAAACCCTAAAGCCTCAACCCTCAACCCTAAACCCTAAACTCAAAACCCCCACACCAACCATGGAAGACACGGCGGCTCCTTCTGCTTCTTTCCGCCAGCGTTGAAGCGACGGAGCCTTGGTCGATCCAGGCGCTAAGATCTTGGGGGGTTCGGTCTTGCAGTTTAAGGTTTAGGGTTTAAGGCATAGGGTATAGGGTCTAGGGTTTCGGGTTGAGGGTTTAGGGTTTCGGGTTTCGGGTTTCGGGCTTAGGGTTTGGGGTTTAGGGTTTAGGGTGGTTCAGGGCTGGTTGTGGGGATTGCGGGTTAAGGGTCCACCCAAGTTGTGTGTAAATGATGACTCGGGTGCGGTCTACTGGCCTTAGACCCGTCACATCCCCGCATCCTCCCATCTGACGGATGATCATTCCCTGTGATCGAAGGTTTGCCTTACCCTAAACCCTAAACCCTAAACCCTAAACCCGAAACCCGAAACCCGAAACCCTAAACCCGAAACCCTATACCCTATACCCTGAACCCCAATCCCCAAAGGCTTGCCCGTGCATCCTACAGGGCCCTGGCGCCATGTCTCTCGCACACAGAGAAGGAGGGGAAGGAGGCTTCGGCTAGCTGCGCTTGAGCGTTGCTCTGGGTGGCGCGCCAGAGATAGGGTTTAGGGCTTAGGGTTGAAGGCATAGGCTTAGGGCTTAGAGTTTAGGGTTTAGGGTTTAGGGTTTAGGGTTTAGGGTTTAGGGTTTGGGGTTTGGGGTTTGGGCTTGGGGTTTAGTTTTTTTGGTTTAGGGTTCAAGGAGTCACCGGTGTTGCAACCGACTATGTGGGAAGGGCTTCCGGAACTTGTCTTCGGATGCGCACCCTAAACCCTAAACCCTAAACCCTAAACCCGAACCCCTAAACCCTAAACCCTAAACCCTAAACCCTACAATCTCGAGGGGTTCTGCATCGGAACACAGCATGGAGCCAGCCTGGGTGCAGCTGGGCTCGTGCGCGGCGGCCAGGCTGGCTCTGCCGGCCTCGTACTTGGGTTTAAGGGTTTGGGGGTTTTAGGGGTTTAAGGGTTTAGGAGTTGATCGCACAGCCTTTTGGTACCCGAAGGTCTTCAAAATCCAAAAAAAAGCAAGAGAAAAGGATGCATGAGGACAGTAGGCTCTTTGTTCATGATCTCTTCCCGAGTCGAATTGTGTGTTGATGGCTGACCAGATGAAGGGGACAGGGACCACAGGAAAAGAATGATCAAATGAGCGGCTGATTCAATTAACATGTGATGAGCTCACGACCCACGATTCATTACAAAATTAGCGAGCGAAAGAATATGCGCATGAAGTGAGCACACAACATCTTTCTCCCAAAGGCTCTTACTATGTCACTGCTTCTCTTTACACGGGCGTGTGGACACTGCACAAAGCACAGCGCCTAATAGCCACGTATCCCCCCCAAAGTTTTGAACCCACCCCTCCCTCTGAGCTTAGACCCCGGTGCCTTACCAGCGATGAAGGTGGAGGGCCTTTCGGTGGCTGTGGGCCTCTGTAGTGAGAGGTCGCGGCTTCTCAGAAGAGGTTGAGGAGCTGAGGGTTTAGGGGTTCAAGGGGTTTAGGTTTGAGGCACTGCAAGCCATGGAACGGCTGCCGGCCAAGCAAATTCGAAGTCCAAAGCGGGAGAAGCTCTGATTTTTGAGCCTTTGTGTCCGCAGGCCTGGCTGTTGCACTCTGGGGCTTGAAGTTCCTGCTCTGCGCAGACTCGGGCGAGGGTGGGAAAGATTCCGCCTACATGCCCGCACCGAACTCAGACACCAAACCTAAAACTTGGGATGTTCCCCCTTCTACTAACAGTCCTCAGTTGGGATTATCGTACCCCCCAATGATAGTCCCTATTAGGGACTGTAGGTATAAGGGGGAACATCCCGACCTAAAACCCTCGTGCCGAAGTCACTTCCACCCTCAAAAGATCGCCCCCTGGGTCCCACACCTCGCCCAGGAGGGGCCTCGCATGAAGCACGAGTCCCGCAAATCTTCTTGAGGGTGTGGATTGTTCAAGATGCTAAGGGGGCTCGGGATGTCGGGTGGAAAATCCCAGAACCGCTACCATAAGATCACGTGCGAGCTCACAAAGACATAGAAGTGGCTCGACATCAAGGTCGCAAGAACAAGCGTGGGTTGAGACACCACTTGCACAATGAGATTCCAGTCCCCTGTAAACAGGAAAAGGAGGAAGACCAGCTCCCACTAAGCCCCCAAAAGCCCTAAACCCTAGAACCCCACCGCCCAGACTCCAGAAAAGTCGACCTCCTCGCCTCCAGAACCTGACCTCCACAACCCCAACCCACAACACCATCCCATATCCAATGAAGGGATGCCGCAAGAAATCGCATGTAAGGACCATCACAGTGTAGGAGATACTGAAATGCTAAACACTCTGGTGGGAGGGTTCGGGGTGATGCGCACTCTCTCGGCCTTTTGGCTGACTCGGGTCCAATTCCTTCAAGTGCCCTGACAAAAGCAAGGTGCCTGCTTCGGGGGCCTTGGCCCATCATAGCCATTGGCCTCGCTTGGCTTGCACAAAGTGCTCTCTCACACGCCATCCTCTCTCTTGCATGAACACACAGTCTGGGGAGCAGGAGTAGAGTCACGTACCTTCTCCTTCTTCGCAGTGGACACCTTCGGCTTTGGCCTGCACAGTCTCCCCAACCGTGGAGTCAGCGCGTCCACGAGGTCAGGACTGCTCACTGTACTGCCCCGTAAGTTACAACATTCAAAACAACCAAGAACTTTAAGAAGACAAAGTGGTGCGATGTATTGATGAAAGTCCAAAGAGGGCGACTACAGAAACTGCAATCTCCAAGTCCCAAGTGCAGCATCGCAGCATCGCGCGGGGCAGTGCAGCGCAGAACAGTCCATTTACGCAATGGCGTTTCAGCTACGGCCTGACAGGTGTAAAGCCCTTGTCGGCACCTGGGCCCAGAGAAGCACAGACATCAGAGTGGGAGGAGGATTTGGGCTCACCTTAGCAATTAATGATGTCAGAACTCAGAACTATTAGGGAATCATTCGGAACCATTGGTGTTCAATGGGTTCCATGAGTTCACACAGACAAGTTGAGTGAAAAGTTGGCCTCCCTCCAAGGCACCAAACATGTCAGGGCCCAAGCCCACAGAGGAAAGGGGCTTGTACAGCGGCTGCTTTGGCCTCGGGTCTGCCGACGTACCCCACGGCGCGGTGCTTTCAGAATCTGCTCAAAGCAAGAAATCCTTGCTTCAAGTCTGAAGAGCTATTTGGGATGTTCTGGATTTCAGAGGGCCATTGGAGGGCTCAGGGCTGGGACCCCAAATATGACAAGCATGTTTGTCCTTGGGGAGTTGCTGAACTTTGTTGGGTGGCTCAGGCACGAACTTGGGTGTCGACATCATCGCCTTGGTTGCTGGGTCTAGAGGTTAGGGCTCCGAGGCTACGAGTCACTGGTCTCAGTGGTAGGCCAGAACCTTCTAGAACCGATAATGCATGTTCCGATGTTCCTGTACACGATAATGGATTTTCCTTTGGGTTTCCCCTTACTCGATATTTAATCATCTTACGTGTGAATTAGTATTGTGCTTTCAATACAATATATGTTCAGTTGCGTTATACTTCCATTGTAGATGCTTGTTTCTTGCTTGGCGTTGTTCTTGCAGTAGCGTTCGCGTGCCGGTTCCTTTTCGTTTTTCCTGTTAATGTATTCAGGGTCGTGCTTTTTCTTCATTTGTCATACAGGCGATGATGCAGTGCCATCTGCTCCTTAACTTGTTCCAACGTCAGACTGGTGGCAAGTTCCTCAATGGTGTTAATGTCATTTCTATACGCTGTAACCGGCTTTTCTTTAAGTATGTTTTATGTCAACCCGTATTTAACGGAAAACACTTACGAACGTAGTAACTCAACACATTACTTTCTGAATTTAATGAGTAAAAGAAAAACGTCTCGATAACTCAACCATGTCATAAAGTTGTATGAGGGCCGCAAAATCACAGTTCGGAACAGCCGCCAATGTCACTGGCCCTGCCAGAGCAAGAGCAAAAAAGGGATGAAACAATATGGAAAAGGCAGCGTCACCGAAAGGGTGAAAGCAGCGGCAAAGAAAGCCAGGAGGGGCAGGGGGAAGGAAGTGGCAAGGAGAAGTGAGAAACAACCTGGATTTTCAAAAGAAAACCATTTGTGGTGGCTCATCATCAAAGGCAAAAGACATCTTCAGAGGCAGGAAGAATTACGATGTGACATTTCTGTTCTTTCAACTCATAACCGTTCAGGCGCTAAAAAAGCCTCATTCATATTAGATGGGTGCGGCATATGATAGGTATATTCTCCCTTGATGCTTTATACACCCCTGGAATGGATAGCACGAAACAGGGAAAAGCTACCAGAAACTACTATTTCCTTAAGAACCGCCCAAAAAACAAAAAACAACAATCTCTATATTACCCTTATAAGGATGAATGTTTTTCATTTTTTTGGGGGTTCTTAAGCAATTTGTAGCAAATCTGTGGGCTCCCAACCCCGATCGATCCTGGTCGCCTGGCCGGCTTAACTTATTCGGAGTTTCGAGGGTTCGCGCTGAAGGTTCTTGTGGGGGGTTCGAAGGGTCTTCGGGGCTCCTGGGAGGCTTTGAAGGCTTTAGGGTTTAGGGTCTATATACAGTGGACTGAAAGCCAAGACGGTTACTGGCCTCAGATCAAGGTTCACGTCGCGATGGGGTGTTGAGGGCCTATATACAGTGGACTGAAAGCCAAGACGGTTTAAGGCTTCAGGGTTCAAGGTCTAGTGGCCTTAAGGCAAGGATGAAATCGCAGGAGTTTGTCCAGGGGGGCCGTTGCACCCGGTTTCGAAGTCAAGTGAACAAGGCCGAATCAATAGTTCCATTCTAAAGCCTTCGGCACAAGAAATTTGCAACAATGCTGTGATGAGTGCGTACAAAATCCACTGTACGGTACACAGCTTGCCATGGAAGTCGTTTTGCTACTAAGCCGGCTCCCACCGCGACCTTGACCAGGTCTTCATGGCTTCTGTTGGCCGTTTGCGTCTCGAAACAGCTAGTTGAAACCCTGAATGCTGGGTTCCCCAAACTTTTCTTAAGCTTAGAGCCTAAGAAGTCTCCAACTTTAGAGATGCGAAGTTGTAGTATGCTCCAGCTACGAAACATGCCCGCATGGAGTTGTTGACGAGCCAGCTGCAGGCCGCAACAAATCGGGGCATGAGGGCGCAACTTGGGTTTGCGAGGCTTTTTCCAAAGAGAAAAATGACCAGCGCAGCATGAGAAGTACCAAGGGGCTCAAATGAGGAACTCGCCATTTTGTGAATCGGCCCTGTTCTGCCACATATAACCCTAAACCAGAAACCCTAAACTCCCCATGGTTGCGAGATGTTGCAAGCACTGCTTCCGGGTTCAGGGCCTGTGCGGGTTCACCAGGGGTTTAGGCCAAAGGCACTAAACTAACTAGAGGCACTCTAGACGCCCTGCACCTCATAGCGCACGTGTAATTCCAAGATGCAGCTCATGGCTGTCAGCTACATCGCACTTAAGGACAAAGGCTGCAACAGGTTTGCTTCTCCACACACGTAATGAAAGCAGCAAGGCGGTTTATCATGTACCTATGACGTATGACAAACAAAGATCACGAGAAAAACCATCACTGTTCTTCATGCCAAAATGGCGAGAATGCTCACTCTTGAGACCACAAATCCTCACTCAAATCTGCGACTAAAAGCATGGCTATGACGCAGGAACATGTGCACGTTCAAGCTTGCTCTGTTTGCTCCCCTTTCGAGACATCTTGCTGCAGCAAGACTGCCGAGTAGGGCAAGAAGCTGAAAAGCACGCGTTCTGCGGCAAGCAACCCGTGAAAATGGTCCAAGGAAACGTCTGGCTTCTCCTGCACGTGCTCTTAAAACGCAGCGGAGGCAGAGCACGACTCAGCAAACATGGTAAAGATTGGATCAATTTGGGCATGCCTTAAATCGAAAGCATCATTGTGATTGGGCTGTAGCTAGGACTCTGACTAAACAAACTCCCGGAAAAGTCGCAGCTGGCAGGACTCGCAGTAGGTCACGAAGCTCGCAAGCACGTGGGATACGCAAGCACAAGCAAACTCTCCCATCACTGTGCTTGCCACCAGAAAACTGCCGCTCTTCATGTTTTTTGTAACATAGTTTAGGGTTCAGGCAGCCTTTCTTCAACCACGAAAACATCAGCGGATGCCAAGGGCTGCTGAGTGCTCAGTCAGTCCCCCTCAATTTGACATGACCTCCTCAGTGAAGTCTCGCCTGGGATATGCTCCACTGAATTCGTCCTCTGGCAGCAAAACTCAAAAAGGCCACCACCACCGATGACCTCGCCCTCAGGGGACAGAACTCCAAGTGGATCGCCGCTGCCGACCCGGCTATGCCACCGCAAGCCTATGTAGCGGATCTTTCGAAGGCCCCTTACGGGGAAAGCCCCTTACGGGGAAGGCCGTATAAGGGGAAGGCCCCTTACGGCCCTTACAGGAGGTTTCTCACGCGGAAGGCCCCTTACAGGGAAGGCCCCTTAAGGGAAGGCCCCTTACAAGGAAGTGGAAGGCTCCTGGGAGAGGCCCCGTCGGGGAGGATCGGCCCGAAAGTGCCTGGTGGATACATCTGCAGGGTTGAATTGCTCATACTGTCTGTGCCCCAGACCTTGACGCGCGTTAAGTTTTACCCTAACATAGGCGTTAATTTGGCGTTGGGCCAGTCTGGCAGATTCCAAGTCACTGAACCGCCATTTGCGCCCAGTGGCGTAGAACGTCGTGAGGAGGGTACTTGGCCCTGGACCTCTGGTACCCCTTGCGCGTTGCGCTTGAAAACTGTCTCCGGGCGTGTGGGCCGCACGTATGCTCTGCCTGCTAACAGTGCCACCGCGACAGCTGGTGGCACATTCACTTGGAGGTCGGTTATTTTACCTTGTCTATCCTGCGCACCCTGCTCCGTCTTCTTATCATTGTCCGGCGAGCCGAGAACAACCGGCAAGCATCCAGCGTTGTAACGCCTCACGCGCGCACTGGGCAAGGTCAGCCAGGATACGGGGCGCCTGCGCCGCTGTAGGGGAGCATGTTGATGCGCATTGAAGGCAAGTAACAACCCTCCCAGCCAATCTTACTGCTACTGCTACTGCTACTGCTACTGCTACTGCTACTGCTACTGCTACTGCTACTGCTACTGCTACTGCTACTGCTACTGCTACTGCTACTGCTACTGCTACTGATACTGCTACTGCTACTGCTACTGCTACTGCTACTGCTACTGCTACTACTCTACTACTACTACTACTACTACTACTACTATACTACTACTACTATACTACTACTTATACTATACTTACTATACTACTACTACTACTACTACTACTACTACTACTACTACTACTACTAATACTACTACTACTACTACTACTACTACTACTATACTACTACTACTACTACTACTACTACTACTACTACTACTACTACTACTACTACTACTACTACTACTACTACTACTACTACTACTACTACTACTACTACTACTACTACTACTACTACTACTACTACTACTACTACTACTACTACTACTACTACTACTACTACTACTACTACTGCTACTACTACTACTACCCGGCGGCGCGGCAAACTGTACCCTTGTTGTCTATAAAACACGCGTTTCGCCGAGGCGGCAGCTCTGTTTTGTTGGTTAAAAAACATGTCTCCGTTTAAGGCTGAAACGTGCAAACGCATGGGTTTTCACACGCAAACAATGCCAGCTGTCAGGCACGCATCTTCTGGAGGCGACGGCCTGTGCTTTGCAACAGCAAGTCAAGGCGAGCGTGCCGCTGACGCCACTGAAAGCTACGCACGTACGTAAGAAGGACCTTCCGCTTGGCGGCTGTCAAGTTCTGCGGCATATGTTCGTTCAAGCTCTGGCCACTCCCACGGACTGGCAACACGGACGTTATCATCGTGCGGGCATGGATGCTCTGGCCACTCGCACGGACTGGTAACACGGACGTTATCATCGTGCGGGCATGGATGCTCTGGCCACTCCCACGGACTGGTAACACGGACGTTATCATCGTGCGGGCATGGATGCTCTGGCCACTCGCACGGACTGGTAACACGGACGTTATCATCGTGCGGGCATGGATGCTCTGGCCACTCGCACGGACTGGTAACACGGACGTTATCATCGTGCGGGCATGGATGCTCTGGCCACTCGCACGGACTGGTAACACGGACGTTATCATCGTGCGGGCATGGATGCTCTGGCCACTCGCACGGACTGGTAACACGGACGTTATCATCGTGCGGGCATGGATGCTCTGGCCACTCGCACGGACTGGTAACACGGACGTATCATCGTGCGGGCATGGATGCTCTGGCCACTCGCACGGACTGGTAACACGGACGTTATCATCGTGCGGGCATGGATGCTCTGGCCACTCGCACGGACTGGTAACACGGACGTTATCATCGTGCGGGCATGGATGCTCTGGCCACTCGCGCGGACTGGTAACACGGACGTTATCATCGTGCGGGCATGGATGCTCTGGCCACTCGCACGGACTGGTAACACGGACGTATCATCGTGCGGGCATGGATGCTCTGGCCACTCGCACGGACTGGTAACACGGACGTTATCATCGTGCGGGCATGGATGCTCTGGCCACTCGCACGGACTGGTAACACGGACGTTATCATCGCATGGATGCACTGGTCGCACGGACTTGGTAACGGACGGACGCGGGCATGGATGCTCTGGCCACTCGCACGGACTGGTAACACGGACGTCATCATCGGCGGGCATGGATGCTCTGGCCACTCGCACGGACTGGTAACACGGACGTTATCATCGTGCGGGCATGGATGCTCTGGCCACTCGCACGGACTGGTAACACGGACGTTATCATCGTGCGGGCATGGATGCTCTGGCCACTCGCACGGACTGGTAACACGGACGCTATCATCGTGCGGGCATGGATGCTCTGGCCACTCGCACGGACTGGCAACACGGACGTTATCAGTGCGAGGGCTCACCTCGACATGCCGGGCCCGTCGCGGCGGCGTCTCCATGCTAACTGGAGCCCAAAACTCCAGCGAAAAGAATTTGGAGGCAGAAGCAAGACAGTGTACCCTGAAACGGAAGAAGTGTGCAAGAAGAAGCTGTGCACACTCAGAAGGTGACAAGAAGGGTTAAAAGTGTGTTAAAAAGTGTGTACGGTTAAAGCGCCGCTGGCTACTACTACTACTACTACTACTACTACTACTACTACTACTACTACTACTACTACTACTACTACTACTACTACTACTACTACTACTACTACTAATACTACTACTACTACTACTACTACTACTACTACTACTACTACTACTACTACTACTACGGTGCAACCCTATGGTTTGCCCGCGCTTGTTTTTGGAAGGTACATAAAACATGCGCAGGCGCAGCGTTTCTGGCCTTTGCCGGCCTTTCAACAGTGTTCTTTTTTTTCGTTTTTGTCTTCATAAACGACGACCCTCTGCGGGTTTCCCTGCGTTCCGGACTTCGCAGAACCCTATGGTTTGCCCGCGCGCGCGTCTTACGGTTTGGGCTTTGGAGTGTTTCAGGCACGAGTCCAGCACGAGGGCTTCGGTGTTTTGTCGTCCTGGGCTTCAAGGAAATAACACTGCTTTCGGGCGTGGGTTCAGGGTTGAGGCGTAAGACAGTTTACGGTTTGCCCGCGTCTTCTGCTTGTGGGCAACGAACAGCCAAAGCCTAAACCTGCCTCCTCAGCGAGCTGCCCAGCGTCTGCGCCCGGCTTCCCGTATGCCAGGGCCGTGTCCGTCTCTGCAGACCGCGGACCTGTGGCCGCGCGACCCAACAAGCACGGGAGTCAGTAGTGTAGTGGCCACAAGACGAGTCGTCTGCGAAATCCTGAGCTTTTAAATAGGACCAAGAACTTCTGGAGTTTAAGGTTTAGGCTTTGGGCTGTTGGGTGCCACATGGTTCATGCTGACATGCTGCGGCAAGAGCTGACTCAAGCATGCTTGTCCAAACCCATGCTTGACCACCCTGTGTGTGGGCAAACCACCCGGTTGGGGCGTACTACTACTACTACTACTACTACTACTACTACTACTACTACTACTACTACTACTACTACTACTACTACTACTACTACTACTACTACTACTACTTACTACTACTTACTACTACTTACTACTACTTACTACTACTTACTACTACTTACTACTACTTACTACTTACTACTACTACTACTACTACTACTACTACTACTACTACTACTACTATTACTACTACTACTACTACTACTACTACTGCTACTACGACGACTACTACTACTACTACTACTACTACTACTACTACTACTACTACTACCACTACCACTACCACTACCACTACCACTACTACTACTACTACTACTACTACTACTACTACTACTACTACTACTACTATACTACTACTACTACTACTACTACTACTACTACTACTACTACTACTACTACTACTACTACTACTACTACTACTACTACTACTACTACTACTACTACTACTAAAATTATGATTACTACAACTACTACTACTATTATTGCTACTATCGTTACAACTACTACTACTTATACTATTTATTGAACGCTGAGCGAGCGGACTCTGCTCATTGCGGGCGATTTGCACCGTCTGAGCACCGAAAATTGGGTTGGAGCTAATGGTTAGGAGAGGTGAAACTGAAGTCAACACTGTACAAGAGAGGTGAAACATCAGAGGTCTGGGATCAAACATTGACTAGCTTTCGGCTAGAATGATACTAAGAGCTACTTGGCGATCATGTGTAAGAAGGACTTCTCCCCGTCATCCAAGTGTGTTTCACTGCGTCCAGCAAACACGCACCAATCTGCAATTGGGGTTGTACCGGTTGGCCGTCGCCCATAGTGTCTATTTAGAGAATTGGGGGTGCCTGCAACCATGAATTTCTGGCCCCCAAAGTAATGATGGACCCCGCTGGCGGCGGTCAGCAAGGGTAAACCGCCCTTGGCGGCAATTCTGGCATCGTATCTGCTTGAATTCCTGACGTTAGGATGTTATAGGCCAGCCACAGTCCTCTTAATAAACGCAGACTTTACTTTGAGATTGTCAGGCCGCAGTAGTGAGTTGGCATCTGCTTGAGTCTTGCCAGCGGGGACAGCCACGGAGCCGCCCTGTTGGCAGGAAGTTGCCTCAGACACATGGAGCATTGACTTTAAGTTGCAATTCTTGCTAGTGCCTTTTGCGAAGTGGAGAAAGCAGGAATGGCGGTCGTGACTTTTCTGTCGACTTCTCTCAGCGAAGTGTAAGAGGTACTGGTCACCAATCAAATGAAAAGGAGCTCTGACAGGCTGTGCCCCTCTCTCTCTTGCTAAAGGTTTTTTAATTGCACTTTTGCGCGCCCCCAGCCGGTCTCACAAACGACCCCTCTTTCTGAAGCTCTGTGGGCGCTCTGGCGGCAATCTGGTCACTTGGCTTAAAATCGGCCGTGACAGGCTCTGGGCGCATTCTGGGCGCGAGCGCCCCTGCAGAAATGCAGTTTTCTAGAAATCAGGGAAAACGGCTGTGGATGCATTTCTGCGGCGTTGGCCAAGCGTGCTACGGAAGGCGTCGGAAATCGACTGAGCATCAAAAACAGCAAAGCATCAGAAGGGACCACTGGGAGCTCGAAGCAAGCAGCTGAGAGGCTCTAAACCCCTTAAACTGGCCCATGGGAGCTCGAAGCAAGCAGTTGAGAGGCTCTAACCGTCTTAAACTGGCCTCTGGGAGCTCGAAGCAAGCAGTTGAGAGGCTCTAAACCCCTTAAACTGGCCTCTGGGAGCTCGAAGCAAGCAGTTGAGAGGCTCTAACCCCCTTAAACTGGCCTCTGGGAGCTCGCAGCAAAAGTTGAGAGGGTCAAAAAATCTTAAACTTAGATTTTGAAGCTCGAAGCAAAAGTTGAGAGGGTCAAAAAATCTTAAACTTAGATTTTGAAGCTCGAAGCAAAAGTTGAGAGGGTCAAAAAATCTTAAACTTAGATTTTGAAGCTCGAAGCAAAAGTTGAGAGGGTCAAAAAAACTTAAACTTAGATTTTGAAGCCCGAAGCAAAAGTTGAGAGGGTCAAAAATCTTAAACTTAGATTTTGAAGCTCGAAGCAAAAGTTGAGAGGCTCAAAACCTTAAACTTTAGATTATGCTGAGCCCTCACACTCAAACGGGTCCTTCGAGATGACAGTCACGAACTGCTTGTGATGCTGCTGTGCGACCTGGCGCGTCAACAAAAAAAATGGATTCAATCGAGCCTTGCTGCATTCTTGCGGGTGTACCGTGCAGAGCGTTCAGCCAGGTTCGCCCCCTGTCCGGATGATACGTTTTGATTCATGCTGCAAGCACACCCTTTTTGTGACACACAAAGCTTGCGTAGCGTTTACCGTCATTTAACACCCATCGGGAATGCGACATAGCTACGATGTGCACGAAGCATTTCGGCTGAGATCGTGCCCTGTATGTGGCACTCAAAGCCAGAGCTGTATCTGTATCTCCGTGAAAGGCACGGCTGGAAAAGCAAAGAGTGGCCTGCACATTTCAAACGCCAACTGTTTGCCTCAACTTTGTACAGGAGCCAAGGCTCAGAACTACAGCATGGGTGCATTTGCCCCCCCACCTCCCAACACTTTGTGATGTGAAGGCGTTTACAGTGGCTGTGCTGGGCAAAAACGTGCAATCAATTTGCCCCCCCACCTCCCAACACTTTGTGATGTGAAGGCGTTTACGGTGGCTGTGCTAGGCAGAGGAATGCAGAAGAGAACCCCAAGCATGCAGCCTGTCCATCGCTGCGCATTCTTTGTGCAACGATGCCCCCCTACCATCCAACAGAATTGGAGTTTACGTGGCTGTGCTAGGCATCTGCGGCTGCTGACGCAAGCTAGTTCACAACAAATGGCGCTATGTGGCATTCTTCGCAACTGGCAAGTACCGGCATAGCCCCCCAGAAAAAGAACTAGGTCGTCGGACGCAGCCAAGATCTGTAACCTCAAGGCCTGGGCACATGCCGTGATAGCGGCATCTACCGAACAAACCTGTAGCCTCAGAAGTCTGTGCTATCTTTGTGCTAAACTCGTATTCGAATGTCAGAGTTACAACATCACGCCGATGGTTTCTGAGGCACAGGCACAAACTCAGAAGCGGAGTCACTCGGAAAACGGATTGTACTGCTTCGCCAACGCCGCGGAAGCCTGTGCCAAATCATTCTCTTTCACTCTCACGCGCAAAGCACCCGAGCCACCCGTCTTGGACTTCATGATGTAGACGCGCCCTTTCTGACCCTGAGAAAGTGCACCACGACTCTCTTCCTTCAAACCAGCCGTGGCACACATCTTCATAACCTGGTCGGGAGTCGTGCCACCACCCAAGTACTTCGCAGCGGCCATTCTGAACTCCCAAAGACCGGATGCCACACTCCGATGAACGTCATGATCGCACTCCTCTTCCACAAAGCGCTGCAAGGTGCGGCCATCATGCTTGAGTAACTGCATGGCGCTGTCCCGCTCCACCATGCAGGGAGGGCGAGGGAGCAATCGCGTGCCTGGACTGCAAGCAGTTTGCACCGAACCGGCCAAGCCTTTGACGAGCCACAGCAGCTGCTGGTTGAAAAAGCCCCGGCAGACCCGCGGCTTCAAAGCGTCGTCCGCAAGACCTTGAAAGCCTTCTGGAAGAGCACTGTGCGTTGTAGACATCTCGAAGATGTCCAGGCGCCTCTGCAAGCCTTCATCCAAGAAGTGATTGCTGGCCCTTCGGCGCGAACGGCCGCTCGCTCGAGATGGAAGTCGACTGCTACAGCAAGGCCGAGAGCGATGCGCGGTACATTCAAATCGGGGGACCCCCCAGCGACCCGCTCCTGGTCAACGACGTCCGCGCCAACGGTGCCGATTATTTGACGCTGCGCGGCGGCGCCCTGGGCATCGAGTTCGAGGCCAGCAACGGACTCGCCATGGCAGACCTGTCCACGAGCCTGTTCAGCATCAAAGATGGCATCAACGTGCTCACCAAGGGTCGAATTTTTGCAGACTCGAGCCTGGGCATCGCCACCGCCGGCTCCTTCCAGGGAGGCACCGTGGAGCCTCTGTTGCCCACGGACCAGTTCCTGAACCTCAAGGCGGGCACCGTTTCTGTGCGCGTCACGGATGCCAGCGACAACAGCCTGTGCACCTTCGCCCCTGCTGAAGTCCACACTGTGGCAACCAGGCTCCGCGTGGACGACCAGCTGTACATCGACGACGCCATCGGCACTGCTACGGGCCTCGTGACCAACGCCATCTCAGTGCGGGCTCAAGACACGCAATTGTCCATCACCGGCGGGTCCAACGGAACCGTGGTGAACGGCGACTTGGATATACAGGGAACCATGACCGGAGCCAGCATTGAGCTCAACACAGAGCTTCGGGCTCCGACGGTGCGGGCCAGACCCTCGGACACCTTTCTGACGATTCGCGGCGGCACCACGGGCATGTACCTGGACGGCACCGTTTTCACCGCGTCCACTATTCAAGCAGATCCCGGTTTGGTGTCAGCGCCCGCCTGGCTCACCTTTGTTGGCGGCACGACGGGAATAGAGCAGGTCTGCAGCCTTGCTCAGGTGCGGCAAAACGTAGTTGGGGACGTGGAATTCAAGGTCCTCAACGAAGATGCGACCACTGGGGAAGCTGAGGGCCCTGGAAAGCGGAAGCGAGGTGCAGCTTCAAGCCACGAGCCAGACCATCAGCCTGCAAAATCAAACTGGAGCCTTCCAGGCGCCCGTTGTCGTGCAAACAAACGGGCTGTTGGTGGCCAATTATGGCCTGCAGAACAATTCAGACACCAACATCAAAGCAAACCAGCAGCCCACACCGCTGGCGGATCTAAAAACTGTTTTCGACGCCGTGGAAGTGAAAAGCTACACTCGCACCGACACACCGCAGCCCGAGGACCGCATTGGCTTCATAGCCCAAGAGATTCTTACTGCTGGTGTGTTGGGGCCGAAGCTTGCCAGCATGCAAGAAAATGGGCTGTACGGACTGGACTACTCTCGACTCACATGTGTTCTATGGGGAGTCTGTAAACAACTCGAGCAGCGCGTTGCAGCCTTGGAGGCAGATGATTAGGCAGACGTGAACACGCACGCATTCACGACACGACGGAGGCTGTTTCGCAGCATGGGTGGAAGCACCGGAGGCTGCATGATAAATGGAGCGACATGAGGCGGCAATGGAACTGCTACGCAGACTTGCGGCAGACTTCGGCGTGCGGGACGCCCGCAAGCTGCACCAGCTAGCACGGCGGGAGTTCCCGGAGAACCGGGACTTGACGCTGGAGAGAGCTAGGGGCGCCACCCTGGAGGACGTGGCCCGGCAGGTGCTGGCCCCGAAGCCCCGGAGCCTGGGGAAGAGCGCGGCCGAGGGGCCCAACAACCGCCTGCAGGCGGACCTGATCGACTTCTCCCAGAACACCCGCTCCAGGAACAAGTACGGGTTGGTGGTAACGGACGTCTTCACGAGAGAGGCGGCCACGAAAGCGCTGCCCAGCAAGAACGCGGAGGCAGTGGCGGAGGCGGCCCGGGAAATCATCCCCGAGCTGGTGCAAGGCGAGGGGAACTACGTGGTGACCACAGACGAAGGCCGGGAGTTCCAGACACTGGAGGCGGCGCTGCCCGAAGGCGTGGTGCACCGCACCAAGAGGCCCGCGGACAGGAACGCCACCGCGGTGGTGGACCGGCTCATCCAGACATTGAAGAAGGATTTGGCGGGGGACGTGGCCAGGCACGGCGGCAAGTGGGACGACCACATAGAGGATGCCACGCTGGCCTACAACCGCAGACCCCACGAAACCGTGCACGCGGCGCCCGACCATGTGGAGACCCAGCCAGCCACGCAGTTCCGCGTTCTTCAGGACAACGCCGAGAAGTTCCAGCACAATAAGAAGCTCACCGAGAGCCGGCAACACAAGCTCCGGACCTTGGGGGCCTTCCGAATGCCCACCAACGCCGCGAGGAGCTTCCAGCCCCAATACGGGCCGGTGAAACAGCTGGAAAGTTACGACTCCATGACCGTGCGGGCCACCGATGGCACCACGGGCCTGCTGAAGCAGGTGCAACCCGTGCCCAAAGCCAGCGGAGAACCCATCCAGAGGTTGACGCAGCCTGGGGTCCCCCAACCCGTGAGGCAGCTGCAAGACTTCAACCAGGCACCCGAAGCCCTCGCCCCTGCAGCGCCCAAGGCCGCCTCCAGAAGGCCGCCGCTGGCAGTGCGGCAGCTAGAGGATTTCAACCGCGGGCCGGTCGGGCCCCGCGTCCGAGAGCTAAACTGAAGAGCCTTAACCGTACACGCTTTGCACCGTTTTCTAAGGCAGCTCAGAGACTGCAATTCTGGTCTCGCCACATTCCCTTTGATCATCTACACAAAAATGACATCAGAGCAACTGAGCTTTGCATGCAAGACAGTGACCCTGCGGCCTTCTGAGCACAATCTGGCGCAGCTTCTGGAGCTATGGTCGACTGAATGGAAGCATCGCGGCCGCACAACAGCCATAGGGCCTGGAGCTTATGAAAAATACTGTACCTTGGGATTGTTCGGACATGGGGGCATCGTCGGCGTTTCCAATGCATCCTCAGCACAGACAGTGTGCCTTGCGATCAACTCTTTCATGAAGAAACGTTTCCCCGGAGAATCGTGGACGTCCATCGCGCTGCTTCGCAACCCAAACATGGGTCTACACCGCGATGTGAGAAATCATCCTGACCAGATGAACCACGCAATCACTCTTGGTGCATTTCTACGTGCGGATTGAAGATGCTGCAGGCAACTCCACGGCTCAGTTGGTCATGAAAAATGAAAAATTTAAACAACTTCGAGGAACATGGTTCGATCTGCACGACCAACCCGTGAGCTTTGATGCGCGGCGGCGCTTTCACATGGTTGAACCTCATAAAGGAACCAGTGGGCGCTTGCTGCCTACACTCCCAAAGCCTTTTCACGAGCAAGCCAAGAACACATCACAGCTTTGACAAGTCTTGGCTTTCCGATTCCACATAATTAATAAAATCTGAGTCAACCCATCCAAGTGTGCACTGCAAAGGTTCCACACTCCAAATGCAAGAACAAATCTAAAAAAACAAATCACTGCTTTCAATGTCTCGCGATGCTCGTTTTAAGCCTCCTCAGCGCGCCCTCTGATGCTTGTCTGATCGGCCCGCGGCTCTGGTACGCATCATGCTCGTCTTTTTCTTCTCATCAACTGCCAGAGTCTTATGATGCTCTACTGTTTAAAGCTCAGTCGTGGCAGTTTGGCCAACGCCGCAGAAATGCATCCACAGCCGTTTGCCTAATTTCTAGAAAACTGCATTTCTACAGGGGCTCGCGCCTAGAATGCGCCCAGAGTCTGTCACGCCCATTTTTTGCCAAGTGACTAGATTACCGCCAGGGCGTCCACAGAGCTTCAGAAAGAGGGGTCGTTTGTGAGACCGGCTGGAGGCGCGCTAAAGTGCATTAAAAAACCTTCAGCAAGAGAGTGTGCCCATCCCTTTGAACTGCAATGCAGATTAGTCTGCTTGTCATGGTGATCTTGATTCATGCGGAGTCATGGCACAGGTGAGTCAGTTAGCTGTTGGTGTCGAGAGCAGTGCAAGGATCTCTTCGAAGATGTGGCCGTGGTCCTTGCGAAGATATCTTAGAGAACGAGAAGCTGATGGACGAGGCAAAGAATCTGATGCTCAGGGGCGGTGATATCAGGTCTCAGGAGCGGAGGCCAATCGATTCCGGTGCTGTATCGCTTCTCATGCTCGGGCAGGACAATTGTTCATCCACTTGGAGCTGGAAGTTGTGGCCACAGAGGACAAGCAGCAGCGGACATGTACCGTAGCCTGAATGCTCTGTCAGTGCTCAGTCCTTCAGATATCGCTTGACATTGTGTATACAACGTACAGCACACAAGCAATAGGGTCTGGCCTGGGAGGAGAAAGGACATCTGGCTGCCACTGCACCCTCTTGAGACATGAAGATCAGCTCTGGCTGACAAAAGATTCCAAGCAGCCGCAACCGTGTGCCTGCTACGCCATGCACCAGCTCGGTCATCCATATTTTCCGCATCGTCACAATCGTACAGGACAGTGCGTTGATGTGTTACCCAATCAAGATTGCCGGGATCAACAGTGGTCCCGAGTGCCTAAAGAGGCCGGTTGTGTGCATGCCGTAATCTTGATAGCTCGCTAGGCAAGGACAACTTTGCTCTCGAAAGTCGAAAAAGTCAGGCGAGTTGTTCGTCCCTCCTCCCATCCGTTGCAGTGCAGGCGTTGAGTGCTCCCTGCTGTTCCCAGGTCAAGGTCGCCGCGATTTTTGCTGTGCGGGCAGCGAGGTTCGGACGCCCTCGCTTCCCCACTTCCAGCAGGGACAGGGTTGTCTGTTCCAGGCACTCCCCTGCCGGTTGCAAACTGACGCCACCGGGTCACCGCCCTAGGCCCTATGCTGCGACCGGTGCTGTCACAAGGGTGAGGGGCCGACCAGAAACCTAAGCAGCCAACACCCTAAATGCGCAACCTCCTACAAACCTGTTTGCCACCACGCACAGAGCTGCACACAGACGAGCTCGCCAGGCTCATCAATAAGACGCCTTCGCGAAGCCCGCAGCGCTAGATGCATAATGGGCGAGTGAATGTAAGGAAGCATTTTGAGAAGAAAGAGATGGCTACTGAAAGAAATTTTGAACACTGCACCTCAACTGGCCAGGGACCAAGTGACCTCCTCAACTTCGCCCCGCGCAACAGCCTAATTTTGGGTAAGGCAATTACCAAAAGGAGAACTGCAAGGGTGAGTCCCAACCCCCACAGTGCCCGGCGCAGCATGGGGCGTATCCTCCAAAAGTCACTCATGCCCTGGGAGAACACATTCAGGCACCTGGTGACAAGGTAAAATCGCGAACCTGAAGCCTGTGGCTCCGGGACGCGGGAGCCACAGGTGGAACCATGGCCTCTGGGCTTTTGCGACCTGTGGAGCAGCAGGGAAAGAGAACGCGAACCGGAAGCTTATGGGCCCTCAGGACCCGGCAGCACTTGAAACCTGCCTATGGGTTCCCTGGACCCGGGAGCAGGTTGCAAGAAAGCCTACATGCAGTCCGGCGGGGAGGTGGACTAGGGCGTGAGGCAAGCCCCAGGGCCGCTGAAGATGTAGCTTTTTTTGGCGAACTACAGCGAGGCAGCCACACACGAGGGAAAGGCTTGGCCTTTGCGGCGCAGATTGCCTGTAGGACGGCGGCAGCGCGGAGGCAGTGGAGACTGGGCTGGCTGCCTTCGCTGCGCAAATTGCCAGTACGGTCCAGCAGGCAGTGGAGACTGGGCTGGCTGCTTTCGCTGTGCAAATTGCCAGTACGGTCCAGCAGACTGATGGAGGTCACTGGAGGCAGTGCTGGACTTGGGCCAATCCCAACGGTACCATAGGCCATCTGAGGCGATTGTGCTTTTCTTGAGAAAACGGCTTGGGCCTTGGTGGCGCAGATTGCCTGCGGTAAAGCGGCAGCATCCCAGCTGCAGCCCTTTTGGCAGCCCCCTGCCTTTACGCTCCAGCAGTTCTTGGCCGCTCTGGGCTAAGTTTCAGGGAGAGTGGGTTTGCTTTGTGGTCGGTGTGCTATGGACAAATAATCGGCTGCTGCGCGGGGCAGTAAGGGTATTGGGGCGAGGGCGTCCGGGTTTGTGGTGGCTCGGCCTACGGTTCGAGGAAGCTGGCGTTTTTCATTTTTCTTGACATGAGTATGCATGTGTCTTTTGCGACTCTTGGTGGTGGGTAGTTGCGCTGGGGGGCATCCAGAAGCATCACGTGTTATCCGCCAGGGTTGCCAACTGAAGCAAGAACCGCCCTGCGCTGCCTTGCTAGTTGTGTGAGACCCAAAATCGCAGACCTTCTGCCCAAAGTCTTTGCGTGCGATGCACAACAGCTCTTGCATCTAGAGAAAACGTCACGTCCAAGTGAGGTGGGAGGCCAGTGGAAGCGACAGCCGAAGAGCATTTGCATGTTCAGTCACAGCTGGAATGTGTTGAGGCAGTTTCGTTTTTGAAATTGCGGTCTGCTTGTTAAATCCCCCTTCTGCGTTGTTGCATAGCACGCCGCTCCCAACAAACGGAGCACCTTAGCTTCTGGCAGTTCCGACAAGATGGACAACGACAGAGGCCATGCATTTAATAGAACTTCCCGCTTTGTTCCTTGAAGGGCGCTCGCGGTGGTCCATCAATTCGTGCAAAATTTTGATGGCGATTTGGAGGGACTTTGAATTGTTAGATCATGCCGGCGCCATTGTGTGAATGCACTGTTGGCCAAGCCAACGCGCAAGAAGTCGAAAGCACCCGAGCTTGGTCCTTTGAAGGCCAACGGGGCTTGGACCGTTCTCGCATGATGTATCCGCGAGGGATGTGTTCTGTGAGGTGACGGTCTTCCCAGATGAACAATCCATCAGCGCTGGGCTGCGTTGCAAAGACTTCCCTCATATGCCTCGTAAGTTGGGATGTTCCCCCCTTATACTTATACTAACGGGGATTCCAATAGGGTGGGTACTACAAGCCCTAGTACGGACTGTTAGTTTCAGGAAAAGCCATCTTAACCGTCTTCGCTTCGGGGATTCAGTCATCGGGATGCCGACCTCTCCCCAGTGCGAAGGTTGGACTCTAAAGCCGAAAGCTTCGCCTCAGCCCCCCTGCCCCTTATCGCTCGCGTGCGCGCGCGCGCACCCCATCACAGGGCACCAGGTGCAGTTGCGTTGCTGGACTGGGTGTTTTGCTCTCATCTGCGCGGACCGTTTTGTTTTCATGTGTGGCAGTTAAATTGTAACAGTACAAGAAAAGCAGCAACAGCAGTGTCCCTCTGTTGCAGAATTTTTTATCGCTTGAGATGTAATTCAGAGACCCCCAAAAGAAGAGAAAACCAGGTCTTGAAGCATGTGCCACATGTATGCACTTGTCGTGGGCTTCCTGACTTGAGGTTTGTTTGTGGATTGGGGTGTAGGCTCTAGAGTGCGAAGCTTCTTAGCAAGATTCAAACATATGTTAAGGCCACCAGGCTTCCGCTGGACGTTGCACTTTGGCCACCTTCAAGCCAATATCATATAGCCGTTGCCTTCAAGACCACCCGAGCGCTCTCTGGCTTTCATCAGGTTTCTTTCATAGATGGCGCTGACTGTCAAATACAAGAACCACAATATCCCCTACACAAAGGGCCCCCAAATGCAATGATGTAGCCCTGGCAGTTTGTTTTTGTCGGGCTGAGCGCCCAAATCCTTGGGCCAAACGCAGGCTGCCAAAACGGAACCTACTGTAGATCAGCCCAACATCTTTACTGGACCACCGACCATTTGGAGGGATTTCATGCAAGTGCCATGCAGAGCGATCTCATTCATGAGCGCTTTCTCCGGGGCCTCTATGGTGGCTCCCCTTGCGGGGATTACGTGCCGAATAGCCGTGTACACCTGATCTCCGGCTATTTCAGGGCTGACTTGTGGGCTACGGCCACTTCTGCTGCAACTTTATCAGAGATTGTCCGAAATCTGGGAACTTCCTTCATCAACAGCTTGAGAACAACTCACAGCTGGTCTTTGTCCAGCGTTGGGCACTGCACAGAGTCGACAGATGTCGACAGCACTCTGGGTCCCTGTTTGGGCCACCGACGTTTGTCCATTCGTGGTGTTCAGGCACCAGGCCTCAACTACACAGCCAGAGAAGGCCGAATGGTGGCCCAACGACTTCTCTCAGAATCTTGCGTCCTCTTGGGGCATTTTGCCTCCTTGCCTCGACTGGGCTGACACGCTGGAATGCGCTGGAGTTTGCGGGCCCCAGTTGACGACGCAGCCGTGTATTCCGTGTGTTCTGACTGCTTCTAGGTCAAGGCCAACGTCGTCTTGCACGACGTGTCGCAAGATTCGGGCCGGCCCTGTCCTTGGTTTTCAACACCCTCGCGCTCAGGAGCTCCCACCCTTGGGGCCCTTCAACATCCTGAGCCCATCGTTGCCCGAAGGAAGAAGCCCTTGAGGAACCGCCACAGAACATCCACTTTTGATTCTTGGACTGCAAACCTTGGACTTTCGCAGACGGCGTGAGTCTGTGATGCGCAGACATGCAAGGCTGAGGCCAAAGGAGCGCTTCGTGATCAGAGGGGCTTGAGTTGAAGCTACAACTGCAGTACGTGCAGTCCGGGCAGGGGTTCGCGTAGCTCAGGCAGAGCAAGCTCTTGTGCGAAAGTGGTGGGCCCGGTGTGAAAGCACTCCTTGCAGAGCTCAAGGGATTGCCTGGGGGCAGGATCCTTGACGCCCTAAAACCCCAACACCCCAAAAGAGCCCCCCACCCCCCCGGGTTGGGTGCGTGACTGCAGTGCTGGGGACACAGACTAATGACGTACAGCTTCGGGTATTTCTATCAGAAGGCGCTGTTGTTGGTTTAGGTGGAAAAAGCACCAACCGCAGGAAGATGCACACTGTGGCATGACGTTGCCAAATCTTGCGGCTCCAGTTTAGCCCGAATCAGAATGAGAAGCAGTGACACTACACTGTAGTCTTGATTGGGCAAGTCCCTACTTGCAGCATGCAACCAGGGCCCAGAATACTGGCCATGACGGTGGTTTCTTGAGCAAAATGAATCCCAAGCGTTTCGGGTAGCTGTTGCTTTGGCCTCGAGGGCCGGCCAGAGTGCTTGTTTGGTGCTGGTGCACCTCGACAGTCTCTAGGAAACACATGCGACTTTGCGCCCGCCATGAAGTGGCGTTGGCTGCCTGGCTCTGATCAGATTCTGCGACGCCAGGTGTTCATCTCCCGACTCCACCTCCAGCATAGACTGTTCACCTAGAGTGGCTATGTTGAGTTCACCATCTTACATGAGGGTTCTCATGAAAAACAGATTGTCATTTTCCGGTAAGTCAAACTTCCGAGGCGTACCCTTCTTTGCTTCTTCGAAGCTTGCGTGGCGAAGCTGGCGGTTGTTCGACCCTTCGCAACTGATGCGGAGGCTCTCGCGTCTCAGGGTTTTAGGCTAGTTAGCCTTCCTGACAGCCCTTAGAACCAAAACCTCCTAAACCTGAAGCCTTGTACCCTCAGAGGCCAGCAGGTTCCCGCTGGCTCTTCAAACGCGGGGGGTTGTTTTCCCAAGGGAAGCCGTTGGAAGATAGGGGGGGCTTACGAAAAGAGGGGACCCGTAAAATACACCGCCAAATAGTAGGATTCCCTCATTTAATATCATAACAACATTATGATAAGGAACCCAAGAAGGTACCCGAAATTTCGGGAACCCTTGGGGACAAAGCGACGTCACGTAGACGTAGTCCTCTCGCAGGCAACGGACATGCCAGAGATCTTCGGCCTTTGGAACAATGCCCCCCGGATGCTGCAAGAAGTGCACATCTAAGCCACGCGGCCACGCGGCCGCCCTCCCCCAAACCCTCAGCCCCAAACCCCAAAACCCTACACCCAACGCCCCGTGAACCCCCGTCGAGTCTTCAAGGCGCTGCGTTGAAGCATTTTCAAACCTTGAAGTTTCGACTCCCCCTCCCCAACAAGATCAGACATCTACAAACCCTTGACGCCCTCAGCCCGAAGACCTCGTAACGTGCACCGCAAGCGCAAGGTTCTTCCTTGCACGTCCCCTCCAACGGCGGTCGAGGTTGATGTGATCTTAGTCTACAGCAAGGTGCTTGAGGCCGGGATCCCCCCCCGAAGTGGCTTCAGGAGTTGTATGTATATATGGACGCAGTATTCCTGGATTTGAGTAGGGCTTGTGCCTAGCAGAACCTTCAAATCCTGAGAATCTCAAGCTCTGCGCTTCCAGTTTCGGGGGGCTTGGCCCGAGAGGGGTGCTAAGTTGGGTGCTTTCACGTAGGGTTTGGGGTTTAGGGGGGTTCAAGGGTTTGAGGGTTTGGGGTTTGGGGTGTTAGGGGTTTTCGGGTTTTAGGGTTTATGGAGAAAGGAGAATGCGCTGGCCAGTGCCGCCGTGGATGCTGTGCAAGCCAACTTCATGCCCCTGGGCAGCAGCTGGGTTTACAGGCTTCAGGCTTTTTTTGGGATCCTAAATCCTCGGCCCCGAGCCCCCCAACCCAAGCTCCAGTCCCTCGTCTGAAGCCTGCAGCAGGAATGGGAGCGACGCGTGGCCTCAGTGCTTTCAAAGCTTGAAGATCCACCAGATCAACCTGACGTCCACGGAGGACGTCTATGCCACTCGGGCTGAGTTACTCCCACGCGCCTCGGCTCCTGCCGACCGCGCCCTGCGATCCATTCTTGCCGCGTCCTTTGCGGCTTAGGAATGCTTAGGTTTAGGGTTTAGGGTTTAGGGGTTTCCTCAAAGCCTGAAAAAGCTAAGGATAGCCGTGGTTACCAACTGCGGTACGACTGGGTGCTTGGGCCCAACAGGGTCTTCCGCTCGGTGATGCACAGCTTCCTTGCGACCTGGCAAGATGAGCTGTGGACGTGGGTTTGGTTCTCAACCCTAAACCCTAAACCCTCAACCCTAAACCCTCAACCCTCAACCCTAAACCCTAAACCCCAAACCCCAAACCCCAAACCCCAAACCCTAAACCCCAAGCCCTAAACCCTAAGCCCTAAATCCCCATGCTCACAGAGGCGCTTGCGGGGGTCTCTAGCTCCAAGGCCTTTCGAGTGTTCGGAGGGGTAAACCTGGGCCAGGCCCCCGAGGAGAATCCCGCATGCTTCATTCAGCTCTTGCACCCTACGGGGTTTAGGGTTTAGGGTTTAGGGTGTAGGGTTTGGGTTTAAGGGTCCTATCAGATGAGCGAAAGGACGGGACATTTGGCAACTACAGCCACTTCTACTTCATGGAGTTTGACGCTGTCCTCCGGCGTCGGAGAAGAGGGGCACGGGTAGACATCCCCAAAACCAAAAACCCCAAAACCCCAAAACTCCAAAACTCTGAAACCCCAAAACCCCAAAACCCAAAACCCCAAAACCCCAAAACCCCAAAACCCCAAAACCCCAAAACCCCAAAACCCTGAAACCCCAAAACCCCAAACCCCCAAGACCCCAAGACCCCAAAACCCCAAAACCCCAAAGCCCCAAAACCTCAAAACCCCAAAACCCCAAAACCCCAACCCCCCCAAACCCGAAAATCCCAAACCCTAAAGCCCTGAAGACCAAAAACCCTGAAACCCTAAGCCCCTTTTTTTCTCCATTCTCTTCGGTTTTGGGGTCTTTGGACTTGAAGGGTTGTTGGGGGTTTAGGGTTCTGGGTTTGGGCTTCTGAGCTCTAGCCTGTGGCACCACACGCTCAGGGGGTGGGGAGCCCTGCCCCCTTAGCTCCCCCCCCACCCCCCCCAGGTGCCAGTGCGAAGCAACTGGCTGGACCAGTTTATCCTCGAGGCAGGGCTTCGTGCTCGGCTCTCGTGGTCCTAAGGGTTTCGGGCTGAGGGCGTTCGGGTTCGAGGGTGTCGGAGTAGCTGTTGTGAGCATGACAAGCAACCTCTCTTCGGGAGAGATCTTGGGAGTGCGTGAAGAGAAGAGAGAAGCATCCCGAGATACCGTCCACATGCTCAATTGGCACTCCCACTTCTGAGGCTGTTGGCAGGAGCTCTCGCCCTACTTATACTAGAATACCCCCCCCCCCCTAAACCCCTATTCCAACTATTCAGGCCCCTATATTAGGTTTGCCACCCGAACTAAGGCCCTCCCAAAGGGGGGAAGATTGTAGTCCCAACGTCCCAGAAGCTCCCCCAAATCTTTCCAAACCTCCTCTGACTCCTCGGGATGCCAGGGGCAGGGTGCCAGATTTCGAAGGGTCTCAGTTCTCCGAGTTCAGTGGAAGCTTTCAAGTCCCGCAACCCTCAACCTTAAACTCTGCAAAGCACTAGACTCCTAGCCACAAAAGCCCTAAACCCTAAACCCCAAACCCCAAACCCTAAACCCTCAGACCTAAGCCCGAAACCCCTTACCTTCAGAGGCGCTCCACTACCCCGACGCCGCTGTTCGTGGCAGCCATTACCGAGGAGCAGCTGAAATTCCCCTAAACCACTGAGCCCTAACCGGGTTTAGGGTTTAGGGTTTAGGGTCTATTGTTCTGAGGAATACTATGATTTTCTGTGTTTTCTGTGATTTTTGGTTTTGCTGCCTTTGTTCCTCTTACTGTGTTATCCGTGCTAGTATTAGGTTGCAATAATGTAGGACGACCAGTTCTGTATTGCGACCATGGCTACTGAGACGACTACCCCTACTATGACCACATTTTTTGCTACTGCTACTACTAGCTGGTGGCGGGCGCGATAGTTGCCCTGTGTTTTTTTTGGTGGTTTCAGCGTCCTTGCTGGCCTCGGATAAGTGGGGAAAAAGGATGAGGGGACGATGGGACGGGGATGGGGGGGCGGGGGGGGGGGGGGTGTGGCGAGCGAACTTCCGAAGCAGAGCTTCGATAAGCAACGTGCTTTAATAGTCCTACTATTGCTATAATGGTGATTCTCACTACTGCTACTCCTCTGATGAGGGGAAGGAAGAAGGGGACACGTTCCCTCGAGCGTTGGTTGTCGACTTCTGAGGGGACCAAAAACAAAAAGCCTCCAAACAAAAGCACGCGAGACCTTGAGCGAGTTAGCTCTCCATCCCCCCTTGAATGGCCTGCAGGTCAGAAGCAGAGAGATGGTCTTTACCCTAGACTCGAGACCCTAAACCCTCAACTTTTGAAAGGAGATACCTGGGATGCATTTCTGAGAAGCTTGCCAGTGGATCTGCGACCTCGCAGCAGTTCTGGAGGGTTTTCGGAGGCTGCCTCGCTTATCCGCTAAACCCTAAACACTAAGCCCTTATCCACTAAACCCTAAACCCTAAACCCTAAACCCTAAACCCTAAACCCTAAACCCTAAACCCGGTTTAGGGCCCAACGTGAACCCAGTATCCCCGAGAACCCGAGTGTGGCTAAGGGCTCTTCGGGAGCATTAGGGAGTATGGGGAAGCAGCCGAGGCTCTATCACGTGAACGGCAATGCCATCTACAACCTTCAACATCCGTGGCTGCAGTACATGCTGCAAGTGCTCTTGGGACTTGAACCTTGGGCCCCCAAGCCTTCATAAAAACCCTGATCCCCTTAAGGCGCGATTTTGAATTCTTGATTCCTTAGAGGGTGCTTGCGGTTTGTCTCAAAAGTCCGGGCAGCTTTCCCTCATAGCCCATGAGAAGTCTGGCCTCTGGGATGCAACCCTCCGTTCTCACCAAGGCTGTTTCATGCCTAGTTTTCCATAAGGCCCAACCCTACCGATATAAGGGTGTACGATATTAGGGGGGTACCAAATTGGGTTACCCTAGGGGGTTCCTACTATTTGGGTCAAGGGCTGGGGTCCCTTATTTCGAAGAAGGGCCAGGAAACGAGAGGATCAATCTATGACCAATTGTCCCCAACCCACAATGTACCGGAACCCACAATCCTACTTGAAATTATGGACTCAAGGGTGTTTGGGGTGTAAGCAGTTGTCTAAGCCCTTCGCCTTATAGCCTTATGTGGGAATTGACGACAACAGCGGGCACCTAATATAGACCCCCAAATAGTAGGATTCCCTGGCAAAAAAGGACCCCAAAAGGGTTCCCCCAATTTCGGAAACCCCCATATGGCATTTACACCCTGAACTCCACCTCCAGGTTAGATGAAGATGCGCAGCAGGAAGCGGGCCAAAGCGACTTTGCCGCTCAAGATCTCCCTAGGAGTCGGGGGCTTGTACCTGCCCAAAGGTTCGACGCTGGAGCGCTTTGAGGGTTCGCTTTGAGGGTTTAGGAGGGGGGGGGGGAGGGGGGTTTAGAGCGAAGGCTCTAGGGTGTAGGGGTCGGGGGGGGGGGGGGGGGTATGTTCTGCTTTATCCGGAGGTTGAATGTAGTTTGGTCGGGTTCGAAGGCTCACCCGCCGGCACAGGTCTGGAGCTGTTGAGGGCCCTAGACTACTCGGCAAATCTCCTTGGCGAATATGTCCCACTGTGACGGCATGAACATGTCCAGACCAAGTAGTCAAGATATTGCCACAGGGCCTTTGATGATGTTTGTTTCCTCACGCCTGTGAATAAGCATGACCTCATCGCGACCAACAGAGAAACCCCCTGACTGCAAGTGCTGCCTCGGCCCTGCTGTGAAGTTCTACAAAGCTAAATGGCGGTTTTCGAACATAAGGGACCCCTACTCTAGTCCCCCCCAAATAGTAGAATTCCCTAATAAGGACCCCAATAAGGTACCCCTCATCTCGGAGCCGTGTTGGTGCTTGCGAGGCGTTGCCTTCGACGTGCGCATGGCCAATCTCAGCTATGACGAGTTCGGCTCTGCGCCGGACTGGTTTAGGGTTTAGGGGATCTCCGGGGCATTTTCTGGGCTTTGCGTGGGGGCTTTGCTTTGTGGGAGGATTCGGGGCAGAGGGCTTCTTTTTTTTTGGGGTAGTGCGGGGGGGGGGGGGGGGGGGGGTTAGAACTCCCCCTTTCAACACCGAATCCCCGAAGCCTCCAAACCTCTCCTTCAAGACCAATGCAGGAGTCTCCTTACCAGGGCGACTCCCTCTTGGTTGGCAACTACGCGCAGACGCCGCGTGGTGCCAGGGGTTTTCTGAGCGGCTCGGGGTCAGGGAAGGGCTTGGGGCCAAGAGGGCTGGGTTTCGGCTTGTTGGGGCCAAGAGGGCTAACAGGGGCTGAAAAATGATTGATATCACCACTGAAAAATGATTGATATCACCATTGAAAAATGACTGAATGTCCCATTCCACGTTTGATTGATTTCTTTTTTGTCTGACGAAAGCACGCTTTGCGCTCAATTCATGCAGGCATACAAAATGCACAACGGTACGCCGTATGTGGTCATCAGTTTGGTTCGACGTGGAATCGGTCAGTGTATTTGGAAGCGGAAGACATGGTCTATCTCTCCGAGTGTACAAAGTAGGACTACCTGGATACGAACATATACAGATGTTTGTCGACCATGCTGTGGGAAAGAACCGATGAGGGGGCTGGGGGGAGCCCTAAACCCTAAACCCCTGAATCGCGAAGACCCTGTCAGTTGCCGAGGCTTCTGAACACAAGCTGCTTGACTTCGATTGGTCCAGGGGCTCGGGTATTTTCAGGGTTGGGGTTTGGGGTTTAGGGTTTGGGGTTCAGGGTTTCGCTTGGGGTGTCTTTTGGGTTCGGATGCATGCTCAGATCTCCCAAAACTCAGCTAAACCCTGACCCAATCCCGAGGGTGTGAGATCTTTGCCTTTTCTTGGAAATTTTAAAGCAGATGGATGCCTCAACTTGTGCCAGGTGTGGCAGTTTTGGGTTTAGGGTTTAGGGTTTCGGGTCTAGGGCTCTTGGGCTCTTGGGCTTTGGGCTTAGGGGGGTCTTTGGGGTCTTCGGCTCTGCCGGCTGTCCGGGCGATTGGAGTTCGGCCCTCTTTTTTCCCCGGCAGGCTTCGAGAGCGTGGAGTTCATTCGCCACGGCTCCATGCAGAATCTGTTCCAGGACATCGACGACCAAGAGGTCACGCTGGGAGTGGCTTGCCTTGGCCATGACTGCATCCGAGTGTTCCCCAAACCCTCCAGGGGCTTGAGTGCGCCCTAAACCCAAAACCCAAAACCCAAAACCCAAGACCCTAAACCCTAAACCCTAAACCCTAAACCCTAAACCCTAAACCCTAAACCCTAAACCCTAAACCCTAAACCCTAAACCCTAAACCCTAAACCCTATCGCAAGACAAAGAAGAAGCGAGGTCATGGCCCAGCACCGAGACTTCAGCTTCTTCGAGGAGTCTCTCAGGATGGGGGCTGCGGGCGTAGAGAAGATGGGGGTCTTTGGCAGAGACTGGAGAGTCGCCCCAAAGCTTAGGGTTTAAGGTGAAGAGGGTGTGGAGGGTGTGGGAAGGGGTTTGTTTGTAAGTGTTTGTTCAGGGGGTCCTTGAGAGGGTTTCAGGGGGTTTCAAAGGGGGTTTTGGAGAGCTTTTGATCTCCGGAAAAGAATTTTAAGCCCAGCCCTGCCATCGAGCAAAACCTTCGCAGCCCTGTGTGTCTGTCCCTGGAGGTTCTCACATCCTTTCCGACAGGTTCTCATCATGGGCAAATGGAGCTCTGGCGAAAAAGGTTTAGGGTTTTTTGGCTTCGGGTTTAGGGTTGCAAGAAGGGCGGGCACAGTGGGCTGCTGGACTTGGGGCCGAATCCAGGCATTCTGAAATCTGAGGATCACCAACGAGTCAAACTACACCATCGACTCTGCTCGAGGCCCGTGCCCTAGACCCTAAATCCTAAACTAAAACCTAAAACCCCCTAGACCCCTCTAGCAGAACCCTTCCAAAGCCCCCGAGATTCCGGAGTTTCTGCAGGCCCGACGCACGTCCAGACGAAGAGGGCCACGGGTAGCGCCGCCACCCTGCTGTGCAAGATTGCGGCTCATGTCACAACCAGGCTCGGTTTCGGTGGGCTCTGGGGGTAGGGCTCAGGGTATAGTCCAGGGCTTCAACCCCGGTTTGCTGAAACCTTGTTGGATCCTTCGCTGGAGGCCTCTCTGTTTCTAACACCAAGCCCTTCTACATAACCTTAAGGCATACATTGCAATCCCTGGACAGTTGAAGCTGAGTGCACCGTGCTTCGCGATTGAACTGGCTTGACCGCGGATGGACCAACTTCTGTCTCACTTCCTCCGCCATACCTCCCCTGAACCAGCTCCTGCGAGAGTTTAAGCTTACTGTACGTAGCTCGTGGAGGGGTCAGGCGCGGTTGGGGAAAATCAGGGGAAGGTACTACCAGAAAAGCCTGGACACCACAGCCTCTGCAGGTATCTGGTACTCACGGACACCCACAACATCCTCTCAAGCCCGACGTCCATCCTGGTCGATGGCCAAGGCTCAAGTAAGCCATTCTCCGGGGCCCAAACTCGAACCTGAAGTTCTTAAACCACCCCCTATAAGGCCCCGCAAGAAGCTTTGCAACCCTCCAGCTTTAGCCACATACGCGCTGCGCGCAGCTACCCTACGCCCCCTTTCCCCGTGTTTCCAGGGGAAAAGGTTAAGGTTTTCAGGGGTTTTTAGGTTTTTTTTTTTTACGGGTTTTGGGGGGTTTTTGGGGGTGTTCGAGTCTTGGGGCTGCTTTTTCGGTGGTCTTCAGGGGGTGGGTTTAGGGTCTCTTTAGGTGTGGGGAGCCCCCACCTCCATGTTCAGCTGCCCCTAAAAGACTCACTCCGACAAGCAGGCTTTCCGGTGCTTCCCTACGTGCCTGCCGCCTCATGGTCTTGCCAGCAGTTTGCGTCCTGCGCCTCAGTCCCTTGGCAAACCCCCAAAACTACCCTGCACCCTTACTTCGTTGGGAAAGAGTTTGATCCAGGGTTCAACCCAAATTCAAAAGCGAAGTTCTCCACCCCTCCCCCGGACCCGGCCCTCCTGCCAAGAGTTCAAACCCTAAAGCCCTGAACCGCTGCATCCCAAGGATTCTTTTTGGGAGGGGAGGTGTGTGGGGTGTGGGGGGGAGGGGCGGTAGCGCGGACGTAAAGCAGGGTGAACCCGAAACCCTAAGTCCTGAACCCTGTTTCAGGGTCTTGGAGGTTTGGGGGGTTTAAGGTTTAGGGTTTAGGGTTTTGGGTTTTGGGTTTAGGGGGGGTTTTAAGGTTTGGGGCCGACGGAGGAGCTGGATGAAGCAGAGGCGTTCTTCGGCGTGCAGCTCGAGTATCATCACGACACCTATGCACTTCGAGCTGCAAGGGGTTTAGGGTTTAGGGTTTAGGGTTTTTGGGATTTAGGGGTTCCGGGGTTACAGGGATTTGCCCCTGCGCGGTCATTTGGGGCTCTCCCGTTCGGGATCCAGCGGGTGCGTGGGAGGCTCTGAGCAAAGCAGCAAACCTCAAGACCCTGAACCTTAAACCCTTAAACCCACCCTGAACCCTAAACCCTAAATCCTCAATGTTCAACCTTTAACCCAAAACCCTAAACCCTCAACCAACCTTGAACCCTAAGCCCTAAACCCCCTCAACCCTAAACCCTGAACCCACGGAAGGAAACGGTGTACTACACAGACCTCTACCAGCAGCACTGCGCTGACCGGGGGACCATCCTTCGCCTCTCGGCCACCAGTGCTGATAGATGCAGAGCTTGCTGGTGCCCTTGTAGGCCCTGAAACCCTAAATCCTAAATCCTAAATCCTAAATCCTAAATCCTAAACCCTAAACCCTAAACCCTAAACCCGAAACCCGAAAGCCGAAACCCGTGATGAGGCAGTAACATCAACATGGCTCTGGCTACGCATCCAGTGTCATAAATGTAGGGTTGAAGGGTTCTATCGGGTGTACATAGGTCTTGAGGGTTCCACAGGGCTTTCAAAGGGTTTAAGGGTTATGGTTTTTGTGGTTTCAGGGCTCTGTTCCGGAGGGTTTCCCGGTTGTAAACGGAGCCTTCAGACTCAAGGTTGATCCCCCGCTGACATGGCTGGACCCAGGTGGGCTACCCAAGTACAGCCAGTGCGGCTATGTGCACGGACCCACTGCCGACGGCTACATCGTCAGGGCCCCGATTGAGGATCCTTCTCTTAGTGGGCTCTGGACCCCAAGCCCGAAACACCCGACACGCGGGGGCATGGGGGTGTAGGTAGTGGGCTCGTAGGGCTTGAAGCTTTAAGCCCTACACCCTGAAACCGACACTTCCTAAACTTCAGGGATTTTGGCATCCAAGTGGTCAGTTCTTCCTGAAGATTCGCTCAGGCCTCTCATTTGACCCCATAGACCCTCACACCCCGGTGATTTTCAGGCCTGGATGCTGTCGAAGGATGCGAATTTCAGCTATGACGCCTGGCATTGTGCGTACAGTGCATGTAGTTGTTGTGGCATTCAGCGGTTTCGGGAGGTTTAGGTTTTCAGGGAGCTTGGTCGTCAACTTCAGCGGCGCCTTTTGTGCCGGAACCCTGTCCGGAGGCGACTTGGTACACCTAGGGGGGTCGCGGGGGGTGCGTTACTATCTCAACGACCTGCTGCCTGCCAGGACTATGGAGCGTTTGTGTCTGCACACTGAAAAGCCTGAACGCAGGTTCATTAGACCTCAAACCCAAAGCCCTGTTCCCTGAAGCCTTCAAGCTCTACAACCCTCAAAGCCCAAGGCCTGACAACCTTCTGGGTTTAGGGTTTAGACCCTCAAGAGTACGTAAGCCTCAGACCCGGAGAATCTCCCAGGTGCCTAGGGACAAGCGGCAAGTGGGCTTCAGGCGCGTTTGGGGTCAGGGGATGCTTCGGTTTCTAGGGCTTGGTGGGCTCAGGGAACCTTAGGGAAGCTTAGGGAAGCTTCGGATTCGGGGACCTGGGGGAGTTGGGGTTTGAGTGTAAGCCCCTCATAGATGACATAATTTAGGTTTTTTTGGAAAATTCGAGCCTGCTCGAGTTTCCGAGACCTGGAGCTTCAAGAATTTTCGGAAAATTCGAGCCGGCTCGAATTTTCCAAAAAAAACTGACACAGTAGATTGCCGAAACACGACCAGGCTCGAATTTTCCAAAAAAAAACCTAAATTTCAGGATCTATGGCTCCAGCAGCCCGGTAGATCCTGAAAGTTCGTTTTTTTGGAAAATTCGAGCCTGCTCGAGTTTCTGGGACCTAAACTTAGTAGTAGAGTAGGTAACCTTTAACCTTTTTGGGGTAATATATTCCCCTTATAATCCCAAAGGTTAACCTTTAAAACCCCTAGGTACTGGACAACTAAGTAAAGCCTCAAGAATTTTAGGAAAATTCGAGCCGGCTCGAATTTTCCAAAAAAAGAGACACAGTAGATTGCCGAAACACGACCAGGCTCGAATTTTCCAAAAAAAACCTAAATTTCAGGATCTATTGCTCCAGCAGCCCCTAAGACTTTAGTGGCCCCCGGAAGTATCCTTCAAGAGGTCTTGGGGCGTTGGCGTCACCGCCCACCCGGTCGACACACGAGAATGCTCAGTGTCGCAAAGATGCAGCTTCAGCCTCTACCTAAATCTGAGGGTAGTTTCATGGACCCTCAATGTGGTCAGCTCCTTTCAACGGTTCTGATGTCTGGGCCCCTTAGTTTGTATGGGGTACATAAGAGGTATAGAAGGGGTACATAATAGGTATAGAAGGGCTACCCTTTTCACGGCCCATGCCTTGGGCCTTTTAACTACTTTAAGACTACACTCAGACTCCTAGCACCCCCCAACGCCCGAGAGCTCCACAACTCTTCTGTCCCTAAATCCAGCCCAGCGACTGATCCTGCGTGAAACCTAAGCCCCCTAAAACTTCCCCCCGAAAACTCCTTAAGGCCCCCCCCAAAACTCCCTAAACTCCCTAAACTCCCTTACACTCCCCGAACTCCCTAAACCCCCCTTAAACTGCCTAATAGACTCCCCCAACTTTTCCCTGACTCCCTTAAACCCCCTATACTCCCTCAACTCCCTAAACCGTGGACTCCCAACTCCCTGAACCCCCCTAGACTCCCTAAACTCCCTCAGTTCCCTAGATCCCCTAAGCCCCCCCAAACTTCAAGCCTCAGCATTGAGGAACTCCCTAACCTCCGCAAACCTCCCTAAACCCTAAACCCTAAACCCTGAACCCTAAATCCTAAACCCTAAACCCTGAACCCTAAACCCTAAACCCTAAACCCTAAACCCTAAACCCTAAACCCTGAACCGTGAACCCTGAACCCTAAACCCTAAACCCTAACCTCCCGAAACCCCCTAAGCCCCCTCATTCCTGAACGGCTCCTTGAACCCTCAAAGTTGAAGCCTCAGCCTTGGGCTTTTAGATATTTTCGGGTTTAGGGTTTAGGGTTTAGGGTTCAGGGTTTAGGGTCTAGCTTTTTTGGGGCTTAGTTTCCGTGTATTGTTAGGGTTTTTAGGGTTTAGGGTTTCGGTTTTTAGAGTTTAGGGCTTCGGTTCAACCCCGTTCAGGCTGTAGGTATCTCTTCTTGGTTCAGGATGGCCCTCGGCTTCAGGAGATATCAGGTTCAGGGTGAAGTGTTCCCCCTTATACTAACAGCCCGTAATAGGGTTTAGGGTTTAGGGTTTAGGGTTTAGGGGTTAGGGATTGGGGTTTAGGGTGCCCCTATAAAAATCCCGATCGAGGACAGGTAGCATAAGAGGGATCATCCCAAGTGAAGATTTGTCAAGTTTGTTGAGGGTATCCTAAAACCTTAAACCCTAAACCCTACTGGCTTTCATAGGGGCCAGCCGAGGTACCGGGAGGCAGACTTCTTGCTGGCGCAGGGTGCCTTGGGTGAAACCCCCTTTCAGAACCCTGAGCTGTCAGAACCCTGAAGCATGAATAACCCTAAACCATAAACCCTAAACCCTAAACCCTAATCCCTAGTCCCTAAACCCAAGCCTTTTGCACGGGGTGTACTGCGCGTCTTCGTGGCGAAGAGCCACTTTAAACCTGGTCTCTTCTTTCCCGCGCTCCAGGAAAGGGGAGCCCTAAACCCTAAACCCTAAACCCTAAACCCTAAACCCTAAACCCGAAACCCTAAACCCTAAACCCTAAACCCTAAACCCCATTGGGCCGTGTTCGGTTGCAAAGCCAAGCCCTCCGAAAGATCGGCCCGAAGAGGCAACCTCTCCACCTGCAGCTCCCTCGTGGAGGATCCCAGTGCATGTCGCGCAGTGCTTCGGGCACAAAGCCGGTCAGGAAGGGATGCCTAGTTTGTTTTTTTGGGTCTCGGGGTTTCAGGGTTTAGGGGCTTAGGGTCAGCCATCTCATGGACTTTCCATGCCAGTCTTCTGGATTCTTTCAGTCCCGCAACAGACGGGAGGTGCTTGAGAAGGAGTGACCCCTCATAGGTGCTTGTTGATTGTCGGGTTCGAAACCCTAAACCCTAAACACCCGGAACACCCTAAACACCCTAAACACCCTAAACACCCTAAACACCCTAAACACCCTAAACACCCTAAACCCTAGACACCCTAAAGTGGGCCTGATGCACCGAGGAACTTTGAGCGCATCAGGATTAGGGCCCTCAACCCTGAATGTTGAGGGCGTCTGCAACCGCCAGAATATCACGAAGCAAGTTGCGTTTCCGACCCTAAAGACCTCAACCCTAACCCCTGCACATTGAGCACGTGGCCCAGAGGGGCTGCACGTAGCCGAGGAATTTGTGTGTCACACCGTATTCCTGAACCTTGAGCAGCCCAACCCCATTGAAGCCTTGCCGTGGCAAGGCTCCATAACCCGAAGCCCAAAAAGGCCCTAAGCAGAGCCTCAAATCCTGAAGCTCTGAGCCTTAATCCCTCAACCTTGAAGCCCCTGAACCGAATGAACGCCCTAGAAAAGCCCAGGCGAACTGTACCTGGCGGCCCATCTTCGGCAGTGGCAAGTGCATCGAAACGCCGGAGGCCTGAGATTCTCACGGCTGCGCCGAGGGGGTACATTCTGTTTTTTGTTTGTTTGTTTGGGTCTTTTCGGGGTCTTGTCGGGGTTTGTGCGCTCTTTGTGTGGTTTGTTGTCTGTTTGGGTTCATGGGGTTTACGGGGTTTACAGGGTCTAAGGGGTTTAAGGGTTATGAGGTTTTGGGTTGTTTCGGGTTGTTTTGGGGATTCTGGGGTTCTATGTGCATTTAGGTATATGCTGCTGGGGTTAAAGGAATTGTAGGATTTGAAGGATTTAGAGTTCAGGGTCTTGAAGTTTACAGGGCTGATGTTTCGGGCTGTCCAGAGACGCGCTGTTGAAGAGGTGGTCGCACATTTGGCAGACTATATATCTCCAGAAGACTTCAGTAAAGCCGAATCCTAAACCCTAAATGCAAACCCTGAACCCTAAACCCTCAAGCCTAAACCCTAAACCCTAAGCCCTGAACCCTAGACCCTGAACCCTAGACCCTAGACCCTAAACCCTAAACCCTGAACCCTGCGTGTTGTTCTTGACGTTTTGGGGCACGCTCTTGGGCTCGAAACTGTAAGTCCTAAACCCTAAGCCCTAAACCCTAAACCTCTCTTATTTGAAATAATTTGTAGAAGTTTAAACCTGAAGGGTGTTCGTGGGCAAGGTCCATGTTTCGTGGGCAAGGTCCATTTCTTTTTTTCGTGGGCAAGGTCCAAAAGTTGTACACGAATTTCTGGGCCTTGCCAACGAATATTGGGCCTTCCAACCACCAAAAAAACTCGTGGGCAAGTTTTTCGTGGGCAAGGTCCAGAAATTCGTGGCCAAGGGGGTTTAGGGTTTCAGCCCCCAGGCCTCGGTTTTAGGGTTTCAGGGTGCAGGGTTTCGGGTTTCATGGCCTCAGGGCCTGCGGTTTAGGGCTGGGCTTCAGGCCTGGGGTTTAGGGTTTCAGGCGGGGTTTCTGGCTTCAGGGCCTCTTCAGGGCCTCAAGGCCTGGGGTTCAAGGGCCAATGACGACCCTGTATTCTCTTAATGTTGTGGGATGTCTGGGCGGGAGCTGCTTGACTAGTGAAAGATAGTACATGAGCTGCTGAACCCTAACTCTAAACCCTAACAAACCCTAAACCCTAACCGCCCAAACCCGACACTTTTATCCCTGAAGGTTACCTTCACACTCCAGATGCCGGTGGCAGTAACGACGACGACGACCACACAGACGGTCCCTCTGAAAAGGGGCTCCAAGAGTTTTGGGATTCTCATAGTTGTGGGAACTAAAGGGCTAGGGTTAGGCCCTTTTGGGGTCTAGGGTTTGGGGTTTAGGGAGTTTGGGATTTTGGGGTTTAGGGCTTTAGGGTTTGGGGCGTTCTGGCTCTTTGAGGGGGCTTCGCGGGGCCGTTCAGGTTCCTCTGAGCTGGGATGCTGAGACTAGACAGCGCAGGGTTGTCAAAGCGTCTTTGGAAGCGACAGTCCCTCATCATCATCATCATCATCATCATCATCATCATCATCATCATCATCATCATCATCATCAGAAGCGGAAAGCCTTTCGCAACTGTATCCCAAAGTCTAGACAGATGAATGCTCCCCATTGGCCCGGCCCTGAAGCAACAGCCCCAAAGCCTCAAACCACTTCAAACAGATGTGCGAATGTAGGGCTTGGATTCAGGCTTAGGGCTGTCTTGGCGGATGCCCTCGCCTTTGTGTGACCCTGTTTCGGATGAGATGGCGTGCATGCAATCGCCTGTTTTGCCGAGGCCACGTTGACATCGATTTCCTCCACGACCTCGAGGTCTACGAGTTCGTCCACCACGAGCTCCCTCTCCACGAGCTCATCCATCACGTCCACGACCTCCGGGTCCACGAGCTCCACGGTGACCGCAAGCTCCACGGCGACCGAGACCTCCACGACCACCGGCTCCAGCAGCACCACCACGGAGACCAGCACCACGCAGACCACCACCACCCTCACCTTCACAGTGCTCCCGGGTCAGTGCCCGTTGCCCATAGCCGAGCCCACCGTGGACGTTCTGGACTGCCTGTCCAAGACTCCCGGGGAAACCTGTGAGGTGGGGGGAGCTGTCCAAAATAACCACTACTAACGGTACTTTATAGGTATACTATCACAATCCCCCAAAACCCTCTTCCAATTCTTAAAGCCCTTTCAGTAGGGCTCTGAGCCTGTAGAAGGGGGGTTGGTGGCGGTGATGGTTGAGAGCTTCAGGTTTAGGGTTTAGGGTTTAGGGTTTAGGGTTTAGGGTTTAGGGTTTAGGGTTTAGGGTTTAGGGTTTAGGGTTCAGGTCCTAGGGTTGGCTTAAACAAAAGCTACACGAGAAAGACCTCAAAACAAAGACCAGCGCCCAATCTCAAATGGGAGGGGAGTGTTCCAAAACTACCCTAAACCCTGAACCCTAAACCAGTGTGCCTTGTTTTTAATCCGTGCCCTCGAGGCCTCCCAAAATCCTAATCGCAAAAACCGCAATTTCTGGAAAGCGTCCCTGAACCTTGAACCCTATACCCTAAACCCTAAACCCTAAACCCTAAACCCTAAACCCTAAACCCTAAACCCTAAACCCTAAACCCTAAACCCTGAGCCCTGAGCCCTGAGCCCTGAGCCCTGAGCCCTGAGCCCTGAACATCCTCTGAGGCGGTCTGCGCGCCGGGTTATGAGGGAGCGCCGGCCACAATGACGTGCGGCCAGTCTGAGGTGTTCGAGGGAACCCTCCCAACATGACACCCGGCTTGGATGGGAGTTTTGGGGTTTGGAGTTTAGGGTTTAGGGGTATAGGGGTTGAGGGGCTTAGGGTTTAGGGGTTTAGGGGTTGAGGGGTTTAGGGGTTTAGGGGTTTAGGGCTGTAGGGGTTTAGGGGCTTAGGGGCTTAGGGGCTCAGGGGCCCAGGGGTTTGGGGTGAATCCCCTAAACCCGAACCCTGAACTTGTTCTTTAGGAAGTTCAGTATGCAGGAGGCTTAGGGTTTTTGGGGGGCCTTGGGCCTTGGGAAAGCGCCCCATCCCAGGCAGTACGACCACCTGGACCCAAACCTTTACCACGACCAGGTCCGGGGCGTTTCCATGGAAGTACACCCTCCCCGCCCTCCACCCTCAGCCCAGAGCCTAAACCCTGAACCCCCAAATTTGAACCCAAAACCCTCAACCAACAGACCGTCTTGATAGGGACGCCAAGCCCCAAAAGCAACCCCAAACACCCAGACCCTGGAGGACTCAGCTGGTGCAGTGTGCTGGCGGGCTCCCCATGGGACGAGGGATTGTCGCGCAGCTGCCTTTTTTTTTGGGGTTCAGGATTTAGGGTTAAACCTTAGAACCCTAAACCCTAAACTCTGAACCCTAAAACCCTTCGGCAAACCCCCATCTCGACTCGAATGTGAAGACGCAACCCTGAACCCAACCCTAAACCTGATCCTAAACCTTAGACCCCTAGCCACAACACTTGTGATCACTGGAATTTCTTAACTCCACCCCCCAAAAAAGACATGCAAGCAACCGACAACACCCTTACCGGAACCCCTCATGAACCCTGGGCCGACTTCAGTGCCGCAGGTTCAAATGCAAGCCTTACTCAGGGTTTAGGGTTTCAGGGTTTCAGGGTTCAGGGTTTAGGGTTTCAGGGTGTCAGGGTTTCGGGGGGGCCGACGAAGCAAGCAGAAAGGTCAGCAGCGACTGCCTTGGCAAGTCCAACGGCCAGACCTGCCAGGTGCTCCAAGCAATTCTTCGGTTTAGGGTTTAGGGTTTAGGGATTAGGGTTTAGGGTTCAGGGTTGTAGATCGTGGGTTCACAAACCCCCAACCCTACCCCCAAACCCGAAGCCCCTCAACCCTCACAAGCCCTATAAGCCCTGAGCCCTAACTTTCCCTACACCCTAACCCCTAAACCCCTACATACCCTAAACCCCCCTCAACCCCTAAACCCTCAGAACCTAACAGAGCCCCCAAGTCTCCTCAGATCTTCCCTAAACCCTAAACGCTAAACGCTAAACCCTAAACCCTAAACCCTAAACCCTAAACCCTAAACCCTAAACAACCCTAAACACCCTCTTTCATCTATATCTATATCTATATATATATATATATATATATGTATATATATATATATATGTATATATATATATATATATATATATATTTTTTTTTTTGTATACCTTTGTACGATCTCGGTCCCTCTGCCCACTGGTGTTCTTACGGCCCATTGGCCACCGGTGTTCTTACGAAAACGGTCCATCGGCACCAGTGTCCTTACGAAAACGGTCCGTCGGCCACTGGTGTTCGTACGAAAGCGGTCCATCGGCACCAGTGTTCTTGCGAAAACGGTCCATCGGCACCAGTGTTCTTACGAAAACGGTCCACAGCTGGCCTTTCGGTTAAGGCCGTAGGGTGGTGGTGCTGGGGTGCATGAGGTTTAGGGTTTGCGGGCTTCAGGCCTGGCTCAGGGCCTGGGGTTTAGGGTTTCAGGGCCTCAGGGCCTGGGGTTTAGGGTTTCAGGGCCTCAGGGCCTGGGGTTTAGGGTTTCAGGGTGTCAAGGCCTGGGGTTTAGGGTTTCAGGGCCTCCGGCTTGGGGGTTAGGGTTTCAGGGCTTCAGGCCTGGGTTAGGCTTTGAAGGCCTCAAGGTCTAGGGTTTAGGGTTTCAGGGCGTAAAAGGTTAATGAAGACCCTGTATTTTCTTAATGTTACGGGATTCTCTGGGTGGGTGGGTGTTCTCCCGTTTCCAACCACAACCACAGTGCTTGACCCTAAACCCAAAGCCCTAAACCCTAAACCCTAAACCCTAAGCCCTAAACCCTAAACCCGAAACCCGAAACCCCAAACCCCAAACCCTAAACCCAACCTACTCTGCCTTGGCAAAAGCCTTCACAACCTTCAGGTCGTCTGCGACGCCGCGCAGGGCTTTCAAGGAGGGCCAGTGGAGCTTTTTGGCTCCATCGGTGAGAGCTTAGGGTTTAGGGTTTAGGGTTTAGGGATTTGGGCTTTAGGATTTAGGGGTTTAGGGCTTAGGGCTTTAGGATTTAGGAGGGGCATCTTGGCTTAGGGCACGCCATCGTGCCCCCAACCCCACCCCATTTTCCCGCCCGAGGTACGTGTGCAACCCGTCCACTGGCGTTTTTGACGGGCCCGGCCTCGAATGTGGCTTGGGCTTTGGGGATTAGGGTGTAGGGTTTTGGGTTTTGGGTTTCATCGCAGACTTGGCTATGGCTTGGACGGGAAATACGGTGGGCCCTTGTGATGGAATGATGTCTCTTGCTGCGCTGCATGAGGCTCAACCTTCGTTTGTGGGAGGATCGCCAACCTAAACCCTAAACCCTAAACCCTAAACCCAAAACCCTAAACCCTAAACCCTAAACCCTAAACCCTAAACCCTCAACCCTCAAGCCCTAAACCCTAAACCCTCAACCGCACAGGCTTCCTCCCCACCTGTTCGATGGATGGCCTGCCGTCTGCCTTGGACACTACCGACTGCGCGAACACGGAGCCGGGGAGTCTCAAGACCCTAAACCCTAAAACCCTAAACCCTAAACCCTGAACCCTGGATCTGCAAGCATGTCAACATAGTCTCCCCAAGCCCCTAAACCCTAAACCCTAAACCCTAAACCCGAAACCCTAAACCCGCAATTTGGAACCCCGAGCCCCAACCCCAAAGTTGCAGGAGCTGGGCAAGCTGTGCTTTGTTCGCTGTCCCGTGGGCTACACCGCCGCGCAGTCCGTGTACACGTGCGAGGTGACTGGCAGCTTTTCCGGCACTGCGCACCCTGGCCGCCGATCATTTTTGAACCCTAAACCTTAAACCCTGAACCTTCAGCCCTAAAACCCTAATTAAACCCTAAACCCTAATCCCTATTTGCTGTTTTGGAGGCTTCTTGGGGTTGTCGGCGCTATTGGGGCCCTAGCCCCGGCTGACAGGGGTTGCAGAAGAGGGTTCTAGACTTTTCAACCCTAAACCCTAAACCCTAAACCCTAAACCCTAAACCCTAAACCTTAAACCCTAAACCCGAAACCCTAAACCCTAAACCCTAAACCCTAAACCCCAAATCCCCACCGAGGCCGATCTGCCAACGGCTGGTCTGCAACGTAGATGTGCTCCCGCAGCTCGGCGGCCGGGGTTTAGGTTTTAGGGTTCAGGGTTCAGGGTTTAGGGTTTAGGGTTTGGTTTAGGGTTTAGGGTTTAGGGTGAAGGGTCTAGAGCTTAGGGTGTTCTTTTGGGATTCTTCGCAGCTGGCCCATCAGCCCAAATTCCTCGTTGGAGTTCTTATTTTAAGGGAATCCTACTATTTGGGGGTCTCTATTGGAGGTCGTAAACCCCCCAAAGAGTTCAACAAGTTCCCGCGTAGCCCAGGCAAGGCATGGGTTACGACATCACGGCCTGCGCGGGGACGCAGTCAGGCGAATCTTGCCAGGTGGGGTTGGGGTTTTGGGTTACTAGGGTTCAGGGTTCAGGGTTTAGGGTTTAGGGTTTAGGGTATGGGGTTTGGGGTTTGGGGTTTTGGGTTTAGGAGCATCCCAAAAACCCCGGGAGCCTAAACCCCGCAAGCGCAAAAGAATGTGTGTAGAAATACATGTGGTACCCCACCCACCCAACGAACCTGCCTTACTTATGGTTTTCTGCTTGTTTTCAAGCGTTCCAAGGTTCACCCACTACCCCTAAATCTTGAACTTGAAGTTGAATACATATTCATCTTTTCATTCGAAATTCTGGAAGCTGAAGACGAGGAGTTTTCAACCCCTTGATTTTGAATGAGCAGTTGAATACCCTAAACCCTAAACCCAAAACCCTAAGCCCTAAACCCTAAACCCTATTCCTACTTTTGTTCCGACCCCGGCTTTGAAAATTCAGGATTGAAGGTTCCCTCCCTAGACTTGGTTCTGTCCGAATCTTCAGTCTTCAGTTTTCAGCACCAGGGTTTAGGGTTTAGGGTTTAGGGTTTCGGGTTTAGGGTCACTTGAATACGAATTCCAGTTCTGGTTCAACTGCAGGTCTTTAACTTCAGGATTAGATAGATAAATCATCCTAAACCTTGTCCTGGACATCTTCAACCTTTTCATTCCAGGATTTTGCGTAACAACTTGAAGAGCTATTCGAGATTTTTCAACAGTGGCTCGATGGTTTAGTGGTTTGTTGTGGCTTAGGCAGCCTGACTGCATGTGCAGAACTGATTGGCTTAATGCGCTTGCCCTCGCCTGGGCGCTACGCTCGTGTTGGTCAGAATCACGCTCTCGCCTTGGCGAAGAGAGTCAACCCGCAGGCACGAGCTTCGCTGGAGGCGTGGAACAAGCTCCTGTAGCAAGAAGTATGGGTTGGGATGTTCCCCCTTATACTACCAGTCCTGAGAGAGGATGAATTGGGGGAGAACCCCGATGAAGGACTGTTGGTCTAAGGGGGAACATCCCAAGGTATGGGCAATGGAAGGGATTCGATCGTGGAAGGAAGTAGCGTGGGAAGTGGAGGACAGCCTATGCTCGTAAACAATCTTCGATATCAGAGTTTCGGAAAATAGGGGTGCCCTTTTTGGGGATCCCTTGAAGGGGGTTCCGTGCTACTTGGGGCATAAAAGGGGTTCCCATATTTTGGGAAATGCCCATATCTGCGCGGTAAGTAACGAGCTGGCCAAAGCGGACAAACGGAGAAAGTACAAGGGAAGGGTAGTTCTCGAAGGGTGCAACGTAAAGGATCACGAAAGTAGATGGGGCATGTTTTTCAGAAGTCACGCCTGGCCCCACTGCGATGGAGGGACATGAGAGACAGATGTCCAAACACCCAGGCTTTACCGGTTAGACTTCCGAAAGACAGCCGGATGTCCCAAACGCAAACATCGCAAAGAGCATGCTTCTGGCGTCGCGGAGGGTGCCAAACCCATGCGCACAACACGAGTCCGGCCCAGGTCCCGTGCGCCTTTGAGGCTTGCGTAGTTCGCTGCGTGCGACCAGTCCAAGGGATTTGCGCTTCGCAGTCTTGCAACTGGGTGCGCATGTTCGTCGTCAAGTGATCTGTCGCCCCTTCCATTTTTGGGGTCTTAGAGTTCTCTTCACTGTCTTAGAGTGGTCTTGTCTTGAGTGCTCGTGGACTGGTCTTGGAGTGCATTGGTCTGGCAGTGCTGTTGGGGTCATCTCGAAGTGCCCTTGGACTGTCTGGTCTACGTCGGCAGGGCAGGATCTGGCATCATGTGTCCGTCTTACACACATACATCTCTTCTGTGTAGATATCGAAACCCTCAACCCTGCACCCCAAATCCTAGACCACCCTAAACCCTAAACCCTGAACCCTAAACCCTAAACCATAAACCCTAAACCCTGAAACAGCAGGTTTCCTGCAAGCATGGTTACGCTGGCGACAACGCCACGTATTCCTGTGGCCTGGATGGCGCGTTCTCGCCGGGCACCGCCCTGTGCGAGCGGAAGGCGCCGCCCGAAACCCTAAGCCCTGAACAACGTGTGGGGTTGACCGAAAAGCTTTAGGGTTTGAGTTTCGGGTCAAGGGCTTGGGGTTTAGGTTTTTGTTTTAGGGCTTAGGATTTAAGGTGAAGGGTTTAGGGCTACAAAGCCCTCCGATTCGCCCTAGATTTCTCAGAGGCATGCCCCATGCCCGCCTCGATGGTGGGAGATCCGTCCTTCTTCACGGACTGCTTCGGCGCGATGCACGGCGACGTTTGCATGGCCAAATGCAACGTCGGCTACACAGGTACCGGGCATCTCATCCTGCAGCGGAGGGGGGGGGCAAACCCCTGAATTCCTAAACCCTCATCCCTCAGCCCAAAAGCCTCAACGCCCCGAAGACCCTAGACCCGAAGCCCTAAAACTTGGGATGCACCCTAATATATCCGCTTATACCACAAGTCCTTATTGGAGCTTACCTTTATGATCCCAGTCAAGGACTGTTAGTATGAGGGGGAAGAACCCCAAGCCCTAAACCCTAACTTTGCATTCCTGACTGGGAACTGCACGGTTTGAGGATAGGAAGCTGGGACAAGTCGGCCTTCAAGTAGGCCTTCCTAAGCCCTCAACCCTAAACCCTAACCCTACACCCTACACCCTACACCCTACACCCTAAACCTTAAACCCTAAACCCTAAACCCTAAACCCTAAACCCTAAACCCTAAACCCTTAACCCTAAACCTTTAACCCTAAACCCTAAACCCTAAACCCTAAACCCTAAACCCTAAACCCTAAACCCTAAACCCTAGCCCCAAACCCTAAACCATAACAACCCTAAGCCCTAAGCCTAAGCCCTACGCCCTAAGCCCTAAGCCCTAAGCCCCAAGCCCTAAGCCCGAAGCCCGAAGCCCGAAGCCCTAAGCCCTAAGCCCGAAGCCTTAAACCCTAAACCCTAAACCCTGAACCTTCCAGAAGCCTTCCAGGAGCTCCGGTGCAGAAGCGCTGCGACAACGGCGCGTTCGTCGGCCCTGAGGCCAGGTGCGGCCATGCATCGGTAGGGTTCAGGGTTCAGGGTTCAGGGTTTAGCCCTCAGACCCGACGTTACGCCGCAGCAGAGCACACGTCTTGGAACGTGCGCAGCGACACTTGGTGGCTTTTGGGCTTCAAAAGAGCGCGCCCTCCACGCGGTTGCGCTCCCCCGCCAATGTAGAGGCGCCATGGCCAAGCTGCGTTCGAGCCACTTTCGTAAACTTTAACACTCTAGCCACTTTCGTCGTGGCCGTACGTTCTTGAAGCGCACCCGTGCGTGCAAATGGCCAGAGCAGCCATGCCCGCACGATGATAACGTCCGCGTGACCAGTGCGTGCGAATGGCCAGAGCAGCCATGCCCGCACGATGATAACGTCCGTGCGACCAGTGCGTGCGAATGGCCAGAGCCCGCACGATGATAACGCCCGTGTGACCAGTGCATGCGAATGGCCAGAGCATCCATGCCCGCACGATGATAACGTCCGTGCGACCAGTGCGTGCGAATGGCCAGAGCACCCATGCCCGCACGATGATAACGTCCGTGTGACCAGTGCGTGCGAATGGCCATGAGCATCCATGCTCGCACGATGATAACGTCCGTGTGACCAGTGCGTGCGAATGGCCATGAGCATCCATGCCCGCACGATGATAACGTCTGTGCGACCAGTGCGTGCGAATGGCCAGAGCCCGCACGATGATAAGGCCCGTGTGACCAGTGCAGCGAATGGCCAGAGCATCCATGCCCGCACGATGAGAACCTCCGTGCGACCAGTGCGTGCGAATGGCCAGAGCACCCATAACGTCCGTGTTACCAGTGCGTGCGAATGGCCATGAGCAGCCCTGCCCGCACGATGATAACGTCTGTGTGACCAGTGCGTGCGAATGGCCAGAGCAGGCATGCCAGTGCGATGACAACGTCCGCGTGACCAGTGCGTGCGAATGGCCATGAGCATCCATGCTCGCACGATGATAACGTCCGTGTGACCAGTGCGTGCGAATGGCCATGAGCATCCATGCCCGCACGATGATAACGTCTGTGCGACCAGTGCGTGCGAATGGCCAGAGCCCGCACGATGATAACGCCCGTGTGACCAGTGCATGCGAATGGCCAGAGCATCCATGCCCGCACGATGAGAACGTCCGTGCGACCAGTGCGTGCGAATGGCCAGAGCACCCATGCCCGCACGATGATAACGTCCGTGTTACCAGTGCGTGCGAATGGCCATGAGCAGCCCTGCCCGCAGGATGATAACGTCCGTGTGGCCAGTGCGTGCGAATGGCCAGAGCATCCATGCCCGAACGATGATAATGTTCGTGTGACCAGTGCGTGCGAATGGCCAGAGCATCCATGACCGTGCGATGATAGCGTCCGTGTGACCAGTGCATGCGAATGGCCAGAGCATCCATGCCTGCACGATGATAACGTCCGTGTGACCAGTGCGTGCGAATGGCCAGAGCAGGCATGCCAGTGCGATGACAACGTCCGCGTGGTGCGTGCGAATGGCCACGGCATCCATATCCTGTGCCTGCAGCCCCGCGGAAGGGGCTGCAGCGTACTCTTTGTCAGGCTCATTCATAGCACGTCGGGCCGGACGACTGTGTGGCCATGCTTGAGGAGTACATTGCGAAGATCCGTGACCACGAGTACCGCAGCACGTGCGGCCGTCTCCGTGCAGTCTGCTGAGTAGGTTTTGCGCGCGCATTTCTCTCGCCCAAAGCAGTGTACTCTCAAGGACACGCCCAAAGCAGCGCACCCTCAAGGACATGCCCAAAGCAGTGTTCCCTTCCAGCAAAGCCCCCAGACCCCTCGCCTTGACCCTCCAGCCCTCAATAAGGGTTTTCCCTTGGATTGCTTGCACTACGCTCCACGCCCGCCACCCCGCCTGACGCGTTCTACACTAACATGCACTATTAATAAAAACAGGATGTTCACATAATCCTTTTTGCTGTTGCCCTGACCGACGAGAAATACGCTATTTGCGAGGTTTTGGCCATTCCCGCAGGCCCCGCCTGAATAAATGCGCGGCAAGACGCGGGGTCGGAGCGTTTAGGGTTTAGGGTTTAGGAGCTAGGGTTTAGGGTTTAGGGTTAAGGGTTTAGGGTGTAGGGCTTTAGGGTTTAAGGGTTTAGGGTTAAGGGTTCAGGGTTTAGGGTATGGGTTTAAGGTTTAGGGTTTAGGGTTTGCAGCTATCTCAGGGACCAAGCCCAGAGGGACTGTACCATACCAGTTGGACTGTGAAGCCTGCTTGGGTTAACGTTGAGGGAAAAGCCCAGGCCTCCAAACCCGATCCTAAAACCCGAAATTCTCCTCTTAGGCTAATCTCTGAACCCATCCCTGCTGGTACGGGTCCAGAGTTTGAGGTCTAGGGTTGAGGGTTTAGGGTTCAATCATCCCAAAAACTGCCCTAAACCCTAAACCCCAAATCCTAAACCCTAAACCCTAAACCCTCAACCCCAAACCCTGAACCCTAAACGGCCCTTCATCAGGCCAACTGCACCGCGCTCACCTGCAGCCTGGAAGGCCTTTCGATGGGCATCGGAATCGCCACTGACAACTGTGCCTTGGGTTTGCAGTTGAGGTTTGGGGTTCTGGGTTTAGGGTTCAGGGTTAGGGTTCAGGGTTTAGGGTTTAGGGTTTAGGGTTTAGGGTGGGGTTCAGGGTGTTGGGCTTTAGAGCGTTGATCCTAAATTAGGCTGCATTTCCCTGGTGCTGGCTGCCTTGGAGACGCCCTGAACTCCTAAACCCCTAATGCCCATTGCCGAAGCGCCAAGGTGTGGGTGTAACCACAGGCAACTCCTGCCAGTTGGGTTGCGTGCGCGGCTTCGAGGGCGTGGGCAGCTCGAGCACAACAGATGTCCACTTTGACGGGCTTCGGGTTTTTGGTGTAGGGTGATGATCGATGTCCAGTTTCTCTGTCAGGCTGCTTTCTATGTGTATAATATATACAGATATATATATATATATATATGCGCATATGCTTAAGCGCCTATACTTAAATGGGTATTCAAATGCGCCGAACTTGGGGAACATGTCAGCAAGCAACAGTGAATGATGATGATAACTTGGGATGTTCCCCCTTATACTATAATAGGGGATTATAATAGGGGGTACTATCATCCCTATGAAGGACTGTTAGTATAAGGGGGAACATCCCAAATGATATCACGAGAAATGGGAGAGAGAAGGAGAGTCTCGAGTTGGGTTTGGTTGGGTGAGCATGGGCCCCTTCTCATCACATTCAGCCCTAGGGTGTAGGGTTTGGGGTTTCGGATTTGGGGTTTCGGATTTAAATTTGGGCATTTGCAAGTGGTCAACGTATGCGAGTCGTGCAGGCCGAAACCTGAACTTGGGTGATCAAAGCGCTGCCTGCGTGAGGTTACGTCCCTTATGATCGTAAAGACCAAGGCGTGATTATTCGTATTTCGTATGTATCATTCTTCAGTATCTTCGTAGTCATTATTCTTTAGGTTTCATTCATTGCTCATTTGGATTCATGCTTTTCTCTCGGGGGGGGGGGGGAGTGGGCGAACTTTGGGTTTTAGGAGTTATTATGTATTTACCAAATCATGTTTTCTGTTTTGCCCTTGTTGTATTGTATGCTTTATTTATTCCCCACCCTCGGTGTGGGGTTGTTAGATTTAACACTCAGCTCTTCTCCTCGTCTGGAACTCTTCTCCTCGCCCGGTCTGCTCCTCGCTCATCCCTGGAGTGCCCAACCCTAGAATGTCCCTGGTGTGCCCAACCCCCGAGTATCTCTACCCAGAGAGGGTGGGGATGTTCGAAGAGCAATAATTCTTTTTTGGGGGGGGGGGGGGGGGGGGGGGGGGGGGTTGAGGCTTAGTCAAGCCGGGGCTGCCAGCCCCTCACCGCCGTTGCTGTCTGAACGAGGGACGTTTTATGACAGCCGCCGTAAAAAGACCATATGCCGGGTGGCTTGGGGTGGTTGAACCGCCGCGAATGGGAGCAGGCCCATGAAAGCCAAATCTATAATTACACGACGCGCGCTAGCAACGCTACCGCACCCTAGACCCTAAACCCCAAACCCTACACCCTAAACCTTAAACCCTAAACCCTAAATAAACCCTGAACCCTAAACCCTAAACTCAGGGCCTAGGCCGCCCCCCTACGTTGGGCTTAAGCCCTTCGACCTCGATGGCGCCAGCCGCCCACTGTTCCTGATTCACTAGCATTTTCGAGGGGGTACCCCAAGGCCCCCAGCCCCTCGCTGCAGCGTGGCCAGGGACCAGGGGGGCTTCAGGCCGGCATGGCCGGCTCAGGCAGGGCGGGTGCTCAAAAACTCAATTTCGGTCTGCCCTTGCCCCCAGTTCTTGCCTGACCCCCTGCCCCGCCCCTAACCCCTAAGGGCCCCTGCAAGAAACCCCGACCAACCACCATTCCTTCCCAACCCCGAACGTCGTGAAACTGAATAAGTTTTTAGAAGTGGACTGTTGCCTTGAGTTTAGGCCTAAACCCTAAAAGAAATAGGTTTGGGTGGCTTTGCCGCCTCGGACGGCGTGGGGTGGGAGAGAAGTTTTAGATGGCGCTCCACAATCGGGCCAAAGCTGCTCTTCGCACCTCACGAAGCTTTCGAGCTTGTGCCGAAACCTAACCTTCACAGCACCTACGCCCTATCACAGCAAACCCTAAACCCTAAACCCTAAACCCTAAACTCTAAACCCTAAACCCTAAACTCTAAACCCTAAACCCTAAACTCTTAACCCTAAACCCTAAACCCTACACCCTAAGCTTTGGACTCCAAATTCTAGGCAACGCGTCCATGCTGTGCAACATCGATGGCAGCTTCAGCGCTCTCCCCTTCGAGTGTCAGCCAATTCAATGCCAGGTGCTGAGCGAGGGTCTTGGGGGTTTAGGGTTTAGGGTTTAGGGTTTAGGGTTTGGGGTTTAGGGTTTAGGGGTTTGGGGTTCAGGGTTTAGGGTTTCGAGTCTTGTGTGTGGGGTTTCTGGGGTTTATTGGGTTTATGGGTTTCGGCTCTGGGGCCTTTTCGGGTTTATGGGGTCTACGGGGTTTTGTGTGGCTTATAGGGTTTATGGGTTGCCATTTCGGGTCCTTGTCGGGGTTTAGGACTTCTGGCTTCGGAGTCTTCGCGCATGCTTCAAGCCCACGATTTCAGCGTGAGGGGCAGTTGGATTCCCAGCCCGCTGCTTTTAGCCCCGAATCCTACGCACGAACATCCTCGAAGCGCCCTAAAAACAAACACACACACACACACAAAACTCAAAAAACAATCCCACTAAGCCCTTACCGACCCTCAACCGAAGGCTTCAAGCCAAGCCACAAACCCTTCAATTCGATTTCCTTCTAGGGGTTCGGAAGCCCAAGTCTCAAAACCCCAACAGCCTAACACCCCAAAGACCCTAAAAGCCCTAAAGCTCCTGAACCCTAGAAGCCCCAAAGCCCTGAAACCTCGAACACAGTAAAGCCCTTCAAACGAGGTTCAGGGTTTTGAGGTAGATGAGGGTTGCTGCCCTAAACCCTTAACCCTGAACCCAAAACCCGAAACCCGAAAACAACCCTAACCCTAAGCAAAGCGAGGTCAGGAACTCAACAAGATCGCCCCCTTCAGCGACCCGAAGCTTGGCGAGCCTGGCAACTTTCCATGCGACGTTGGGTTTCGGGGTTTAGGGTTTAGGGTTTCAGAGGTTTAGGGTCTAGGGTCTAGGGTTTAAGGTTTGGGGTTTAGGGTCGAATTAGGGTTTAGGGTTTAGGGTTGAGGGCTTTGAGTCTGTTTAAGTTAGGGTTTTTTTATGTCCCCAACCCGAACCCAAATCCTAGAAACCCTGTGAGACGTCCCCTGAATGACTCAAACCCTCAACCCTCAACCCTAAACCCTAAACCCTAAAACCCCAAAACCCTAAACCCTAAACCCTAAACCCCAAACCCTAAACCCAAAACCCCAGACCCTAAGCCCAGAACCCTAAAGTGGCATCGCTCCTTTTTGCGGCAGCGCAAACTGAGTGGTCGGCAATGATTCAATCAAGTTTCTAACAACGGGCGCACTTCCAGACCCTAAGCCCTAAGCCTAAACCCTAAACCCTAAACCCTAAACCCTAAACCCTAAACCCTAAACCCTAAACCCTAAACCCTAAACCCTAAACCCTAAACCCAAACCCTAAACCCTAAACGCTAAACCCTAAACCCTAAACGCTAAACCCTAAACCCTAAACCCTAAACCCTTAACCCTTAACCCTTAAACCCTAAAGCCTCAACTCACACCCCGCCCAAGCCCCAAACTCATGCTCTCACCCCTAGGAAGTACGATGACTCCTGCGTGAACCACTTCTTTGGTGACATTTGCACGGCCTTCTGCGAGTCGGGCTGGGACATCTCGGGTGATGCGATGGTCTCCCAGCCTGAGTTGTCTTGGGCCGTTGCTAGCCCCTAAACCCTAAACCCTAAACTCTAAACGCTAAACCCTAAACCCTAAACTCTAAACCTTAAACCCTAAAGCCTGCTGGTTCAGAACCGCCCTCGGACCGTTGAGGTCATGGTCTGTGACGACACCAGCAACACCAGCGCAGGATACGCCGAGTTTACCAACCGAACCCCCGCCGAGAATTCGCGAGGGCCTGTGTCGCGGTCTGAAAGTAGGGTTTCGGGTTTAGGGCGTTCTTTCGGGTGGTTCCGGGTGTTCGCGAGGGGTGGACTAGGGTTTGGGCTTAAGCAGTTAGCCTCCAGAGCCTGCCCCGGTTTAGGGACGAGAGGTCAAGAGCTGCATCGGAAGCCCTAAACCCTAAACCCTAAACCCTAAACCCTAAACCCTAAACCCTAAACCCTAAGCCCTAAGCCCTAAGCCCTAAGCCCTAAGCCCGAAACCCTTAACCTAGGTGTGCATCGGCAAGACCTGCACGATTGGACTTCCCAGTCAGCGTGGCCTTCAGCATGACGCCAGGCTTCAGTGTTTAAAGGGTTTAGGGTGTAGGGTTTAGGGCTAGGAGTGCGGAGGTTTCGGGGTTTCGCTCCAAACCCCCGGTCTAAACCCTGGACGCCGGCAGAAACCCCAAGATTTCCGAACCTCCCGGACCCGAATCTCAACCCGAGACGGTGCATCTGAGCCCAGGATTGCCTTGGCAAGACCACGCTGGAGACCTGTACCCTCACAGCAGACTTTGGCTTTGCGATGACGCTCAGAGCAGCGAAGGGCTTCTAAGGGTCCAGTCTATGGGGCTACGGTTGGGGCTTCAGGGTTTCGGGTTTGAGGTTGAAGGCTTAGGGTTTCGGGTCGGGCTTCAGGGTTACTTTGGGTCCAAAGTCATGGGGTGTCATGGGCCTGTTTCGATGCCCTGAACTAGCAGGTGTAGGCTGCGTAATACCCATCCCTAAGCCCGAAGCCACGCGTCCGTTATTCAGGCCGGGGCCTTGTTGAGGTCCAGGGGCTTGGGGGGTGTCTTGGGCTGCAGGGGGTTTAATTTTAACTCAAAGGGGCAAGAGGATTAGGGTCCAGGCCTCAGGGTTTGTGGTCCAAGCTGTCGTCTTTGAGGTTTCCTGCTTGAAATCGAAGTACTTCTATCTGGTGCATGGGCAATTGAAGCGTTGTTGATGAAGTACAGAGTAGGGTTTTGCCAGCGCCAAACGTATACCCCCCATAGACACACTCGCCAACCTTCTGATATGGAGCTTTTGTACGCTCACCGTTTTCCTCATTCGTAGGGTGCGGGCCTTTTCGGGGCCTTTCTTAGAAGGGCAGTAGGGGATTAGGTGCCCTTCGTAATCTTATGTATGCAGGGGGTGCTAGAAAGGGGATGTAAGGTACACGAACTCTCTTCTTCCCTACGAGCTCGGAAGCAAACCCATCTCGCGACAGCCACCGAGGCCCCCAGCGACCTTGATTTGCACGCCGGAGGGGTCCTTTGCCGGCGTGGTGCCTGCTGTAGCCAAACAGCAAAATGAACATACGGGCCCCGAAAATAGACCCCAAATCGTAGGATCCCCCAATAGCAAGGACCCCAACAAGGTACCCCTAATATCGCAAACCCCCAAATCAACCCTAAACCCTCAACCCTCAGGCCATGCGCCCAAATCCGACTTTGAAGGCTCTTCCGGCTCTTCTTAGCAGCGCATGGGAGCATTCAAAGGTTGTTCAGGGTTTAGGGACTAGGGGCCAGGGGCCTACACTCCAATGCCTACACTCGGAGGCGTCGGGGAAGAAGGGCTTTATGGCTGTAGAGGTTTAGGCTTTTGAGGGGTTGCTAGATGGCGGTATTTGTGTTTCTGTCACAGTCTGTTTCTTTGTAGTTCGTGTGCCAGCATGCGCCCTCCGTCTATTTCCATGTCACGGCAACTTAGATTCTCAGTTTATGGTAGTGTATAGCTTACGTTCAATCGATTCCACCGGAGATTGCGACCCGCCCCCCTCTCCACGTGCCCCAGACGCAAGGTATCTGAGGCTACTTGCCCGACACCCGACTTCGGCAACGGCACCGGGAGTACTTGTGCCAGCAGAGCCATCGGGGAGGAATGCTACGCCTACTGCCTGAATCTCGTCGCACGCGGAGGGGGTGGAGGGGGCTTTGTTGGGCGGCAAGATCCAGCCTGACACGTGTTGAACTGGTAGTCATCACGGAACTTAAGCTAAGTGACCAAAACACGATATACCACAACCAGCCTCCTTTTCCTTTTGTTGGGGGGCAACGTCATGTATGGTGGCTGAGATTCACCCAAGCTCTGCCAACGAAGGACCGGCTACGCGGGCAGTCCCCGGCTTTACCAGTGTGTTGCGAACGCCACCACTGGCATCATCGAGATCGAGCCCGCTGCGGGCAGCATCTCCTGTCTTCCGGAGGATGCCCAGAGAGTGAGGGGAGCGGAGAACGTCGGGTGCTTTTGGGGCTTGGGGCTTCGGGTGCTTTTGGGGCTTAGGATCTTTTTTGGGGGTTCAAGCAACACCCCCTCCCCCCAAATATTCAGCCACCCCTGAACCCTAGCCAATCGAACCCGAAACAGCCGAAACTCCCCCTAAATCACCCTAAACCCTAAACCCTAGCCCCTAAACCCTAAACCCTAAACCCTAAACCCGAAGCCCTGAACCCGAAACCTTCCCGAGCCATGGTCCCACAGACTGCCCGCCGCCTGGCACCCTCGCAAGCTCGGAGCTTGGCGTCCGCCTGTGACGGCACCTCCATGACACATGGACGAACGAGAGTTTAAGGGTTTGGGGTTTCGGTTTAGGGTTTAGGGTTTAGGGTTTAGGGTTTAGGGTTTAGGGTCTAGGGTTTAGGGTTTAGGGTTTAGGGTTTAGGGGTTAGGGGTTGAAGGGTTTGGGGGGTTCAGGGTCTGGGGTTGTATGTCTGGGGTTGTACTGGCCCTAAAGGTTCCCCTGAATATACTCCTACCATGGCCCTTCTACTACCCTTAGGGATCTGCAAGAAGGGTCCCCAAACTGAAGGGTACCACCTTAAGGGAGTCCAGTGATCAAAGACTTGGGGATGGAGTCGGCGCTGACATTGCAAGCGTTTCATGGGGGTCCTGGGTTTTGGGCTTTCTGCTTCTGTAGGTCCCCATGCCAGGCGCCAAGCCGTCCCAGGTAAACGACCAGCCCGGTAAAACGAAGCGAAAGGGCCTGACGTGTCGAGGTAGAGCCCTAAACCCTGGATCCTCAATTCCATTACAAGTTGGGATGTGCCCCTGACACGAACAGCTTTTTACTAGGGATTCTAGTACCCCCTACGAGAATCCTACCAAGGGCTGTCAGTAACTGTCAGTATAAGGCGGGGGGAGCATCCCGACCCAAACCCCCAGACCACCTTTACCCTTCAGATCAAAGTCGGGCTCATCTAAAATTTTTTTCTTGTCTCAGAACTTGCAGAACCGGCACTGTGCCGAACACTCCAGCAAGCAGAACAAAGAGAGTAGCAGCATGCGCATGGCTCGAACATCCTTCTTTTACGTGTGCCGTGCTGTAAGCCTGAAGTCAGAACGTCAGACTAAGTACGAAGCAAGTTCGCAGCATGGGCCCTCAGAAGCCCTGGGGTTGATATGGTAAATCTCCCACAGAGACATCTGCCACCGAAGCATGTCTACGATGTCGGCATCACTAGAATACCAGAAGCACCCGGCCTGGAAAACCATGTAGCCATCAACCTTCAAGAACATGGGGGGGGGGGTTGCTCTAAGCTTAGGTCCCTTTGGGGGGGGGTTCCGAGTACGACATGGAGCTCGATTTTATAATGATTACCAAACAGCGAGTTCGCAAGAATAGGCAAGATGGCCAAGTCCTGTAGCTTGTTGCCACGGAGGACGTCTTTCGGCTTGCATGCGGCGGAGTTCGTGCACCTTGGCTGCCAGACTCCGGTTTCTTTTTTTGGGAGCTCTAAGGGCTCAGATCTCGAATCTCCCGAAACCCTTAAGCAGCCACTCTTCGTGAGGTTGGGCTCATGTCTTTTGAAACACCCCCAACAAAGCAAGGCTGGCTTGAAGATTCAGTTATCCTAGCTACCCTACTGTAGCTGACCATGAACCTGCAAGAGGGTCCTGGGTCCTTCAGGCACAGCTGCCACACCGTTGCGCATGACGATGCTCTGGCTGCATGTTGTTGATGTGGGGGTTTAGCGGTTTCGCAGTTTTCAAAGCAAGCGAGCGGCAATCAACGACCCGGGGCAAGGACGTGTGCATCAGCCACTGCGGCCGCGGATATGGGATGACCGGCTACCTGGCGCATGTTTTCTCCACCTCGGGTTCGGGGTTGAGATGGTCATCAGGGTTTCGGGTTTGGGGTTTAGGGTTCAGGGTTTAGGGTTTACATGAATCTGATCGCCATAATCATGCTCGTAGTGATCTTAATCATCGAAATCATAATGACAAAAAGCGCATGATCACCGAAACGTTCAGAGCGACCACGGCTAACAAGAGCGAAGATATGTGTGATCATGACCAGACATTCGACTAAGCAGACGACTGGTTACCATCAGCAAACAGTAAACTAGTAGATTACAGCAGAGCGACAACAATAATCGAAGAACAAGTACAGGTACCTACCAAATAATACAAACTGATTCTCTTAGATACTACTTCATGCGAATAGCAGCAAATCTCCATAGCTCGAAGGCGTGGATTGAACAGTGGTTTGGGTCGGAGACATGAGTGCCTTGGGGCTTCAGGGTTAGTTTCGCGCTTCGGGTTCAGGGTAGTCATGGGGGTAGGCATTAGGGTTTAGGATTTTCAGGAAGATCCCACGCTCCAAGAAGAGCTCTGCAACATCCCTCATACCAGCTGCAGATGCAAACCCCTGAGCCGATTCTCTCACCCTAGAGGGGCCGGGGTTTCACGGTTACGGGTTAGGGGCTAGGGTTTGTTTAGATTTCCTTGCTTGGGTCCAAGTCTTTGACTTCGGAGTCTCTACTCCCAAGTCTCCAGCAGCAGGTCTTGCAAGCTCCGTCCACGTGCTTTCCGACTCAAGACATTTTTTGGCCGAAAACCCTCAGCCCTAAACCCCAAACCCCAAACCCTAAACCCTAAACCCTAAACCTCACAAGGCGATCCTACGGTCTTGGTCTGCGACAATGGAGTCCTCACCGGCGGCGGCTCGCCGACCCCCTTTGGGGCTTGGGGATTAGGGTTAAGGTAGGGTTTAGGGTTTAGGGTTTAGGGTTTAGGGTTTAGGGTTTAGGATTTAGGATTTAGGGTTTAGGGTTTAGGGTTTGGGGTTTAGGGTTCAGGGTTTAGGGTTCAGGGTTTCGGGTTTAGGGTTTGGGTTTCAGGGTTCAGGGTTCAGGGTTTAGGGTTCAGCCCTAAACCCTAAACCCTAAACCCCAAACCCTACCCGAAACCTAAACCCTAAACCCCAAACTCTAAACCCTAAACCCTAATCACCAAGTCCCAAAACCCAGGGGCGCTTCCGACCTGCACTCCGCTACCGTGCATCTACAACCTGCCAAGTGCGGTGGGAGTTGAGCACGACTGCCTCAACGTCACGATGCTTGGGCCTTTCGAAGAGTTCCACAAGTAAACCCTCACCCTAAACCCTAGGCCCTAAAACCAAACACTAAACCCCAAATCGCTAAACCCTGAAACCTAAACCCACAGCCCTCAACCCCAAACCCGAAACCCTAAACCCTAATCCTGAAGCCCCTAATCTCGAAGAGCCCTCATCTTCCCAGGACTGGTAGTAACTGCACGGCAGGGTGCACCGCGCAGGTCCCAGTGCAGGGAGGGAAAGGGGGTTCGTGTTTTGTTTGTTTTCGGGAACCCTACACCCCAAACCCTAAATTCCCACCCGGTCTTTTGGCAGCCGAAATTTGATCGAATGTGAAGTGCAAGGAGCATTCTTGATGGTGGGAATTGAGGGCGGCTGCCCGAAGCCCTGAAAGGCAATGGTTTGGGTGGTGGGGGAAAAGAGAAGTCTGGCACCAATGAAAATTGTTACTGCATGGGACACAAGCACTAAAACCTAAAGCATAAACTCTAAAACCCTAAACCAAATCCGTTGCCCAGCAGGGTTTCGAGTACCGCTCTGGGGGGGCAGAGCAGTTCGTGTGCGAAGCTGCCGGAGACTTCAACGGCCGCTTGGTTGTGTCGGGTCCCTCCGATCCACCTGAACCGTACTGATGCCGGTACACCCCCAAAATCAGAAGCACCGAATCCTAAGCCCGAAGCCCTGAACCCTAACTCCTGGAGCTGCTTGCGCTTGGGTCCAGGGGTGCTTTGTCCCGCAGGGGCTCGTTCATCCTGTCGCTGAACCCTACACCACAAACAGCCCAAAACACCTGCAGCATCACCGCCGCCCTCTGAACAAGGAACGATCCCCTCCTGCCAGAGGGTCTCATGCATGGATCTGGTGCTGGAGCCCTTTCGTGCGTTTGCGTTCTGAGAGTCTAGGGTTTAGGGATGAGGGTGGTTTAGTTTAGGGTTTGGGGTTGAGGTTCAGAGTTTCCGGGCCTTGCGGCAAACGACAGAGATCCCCACTGTAGGCTGTCAAGCGACGTCGGCGGTAGTTGGGGCATACAGTAGGGTTTAGGCCTTCAGGGTTCGGGGTTTCGGGTAAACCCGTAAGCCCTAAGTTCTAAACCAGGGCTTCTCGGCCCTAGTCTCCAAGAAAGCAGCCGAAACTCTCAAGTCTCTCTTTGCCCAGCCCTGACATGATGCCCTAAACCCTACTGTAACCCTAACCCCAAACCCTAACAACCCTAATCCCCTAAACTCTAACCCTTAACCCCCAAACCCTAAGGTCCCTCCGTTTGCCAAAGCCCACGTAGCTCAGTTTCAGGAAAGCCGCTTCTCACACAACTGCAACAATATGATCTTCCAGGACCGGGCTTGGGGCTTCGGTTTCAGGGCTTTTCAGGGTTAGGGTCAGGGTTGAGAGTGGAGGGGCGACTGTTAGGGCCTTGGGAGTTCTTGGTTTATGGGAACCCAGAAAAGCTCCAATACCTCACCCCCTCCTTCCTGTGAACACGAGATTTTGGAGACACCTCAGTCCAGTTAATCTTAGCCCCTTAAGGATCTAAAGTGCAAAAGCCCGGAACTCCAACCCTAAACCCTAAACCCTAAACCCTGAACCCTAAACCCTAAACCCCTGTTGCAGGATACCTGTGGCGTGAGCTGCGCAAAGGGATGGACCTTGGTGGGATGGGGATCACAGTAGCTGGGCCCGCTGTGCAGGGTTTGGGGTTTAGGACTCCATGAAGCCATGCGACCTAAACCCCGAACCTGCAACCCTAAATCCTGGGTCCCCTTTGAATTCTTTGGCTTTACAACCTTTGCTGACGGCGTATTGTGCCTAGACGGTAGGCACATCAACATCATGCTGACTATGTAGATCACCAGCCGTATCCCGGTGGTCATCAAGGGTAGACCAGATGCCGGTTTGAAGGGGTGATTGCTAAGCATCGCCCGACCAGCCCACACGGGGACGCTCTTGCGCCTATTCTCGCTCGTTTTTGTTCTCTGACGGTGTTGCCCTTGCTCTCTCTTGCACTGTTGTTCTTTACCATCTGGCACTTCCATCAGAGTCAGCAATCCAGTCCATTTGAAATCCGTCAGAGGCACGGCGGAACGTGAGCCCTGCACAAGTAGGGTTCAAGGGTTCGGGGTTCGGCCAGACACCCTGAACCCTTTAACCCTGAATACTTTCAACCCCAAAGCAAAGACTGTACTGTAAGCCCACCCCTCTCAAGGTATGAGTGTGGGGCCGACCGAAACATCTCCGGCGTCCTCCCGGACTGTGTTGGAAACCCTTGCCGCTGGAACTGACCGGTGGAGGGGTCTCATGTTTAAATGCGTTATTATTAATATCAAATGAATCAATTAATCGTTGTATAAATGATTCTACAGTTAATGTTTGATAAAAGAAATATTGTTTAATCATACTAAATACGTTTTCATCAAATTCATTTTTATATAGATAAGGAGTTTCGGGTTGAGGCTTTGCGAGTTCAGGGCTTTCGCCTGAGGTGTTGAAGGGTGTTTAAGGGTTCGGGGTTTCGGGTCCTGGGGAGAAGGGAGGTGTCTTGGTCCTTTGGAATTCTAGGTTTGTGGGATCTGCATCTTTAGGGGTTCATTGGGTTTAGGGCCAGGGGTTCAGGGGTTCAGGCCATCCAGAAGAGTGCCCCTAAACCCTGAACCCTAACCGTAAACCTTGAACCCTAGCCCTAAACCCTAAACCTTAACCCTAAACCCCAAACCCCAAACCCCAAACCATGTCAACCCAAAACCCTGAACCCTGAACCTTTAAGCTTTGGAGCTCTTGGGAAGTCGTTCGTCCCCCCAAACGCGTTCGCCGAGGTGCAAACACCATCCCCAACGACCAGGCCTTCTCTGGCGAGGCACAGGGGACACACTTCTTCGGAAATTAGGGTTCATAGCGTTGAAGTGTATGGTTTAGGGCCATGCGCGAGGGAGGGTTTTCGGTTCCAAAATGGGATCCAAGTGGCGCTTCTATGGGGACTCGCGTGCTTAGAACCAGAGAAGCCCACAAAGGGTTTACAATGGTTTTGGAGTTTCCTACGCAGCCTTGAAGAGTCGTCTATCATCGGTGACCTGTCGGGCGATTTTGTTCTTGGCCATTTGTGTTCATGCCCCCCAGCATGCTTGCTGCATATTCCCTGGCCGCTCTCTGCGAATGAGCTTGTGCCCTCGGGTTCCTACCCTGCAGTGCTGTTTCGACTTGGGGTTCCCTGAGCTCTACGCCTGAAGCCTGAAGCCTTAAACTTTCCTAGCGAGCTCCCCTGAAGCCCTGAAGCCTGCGAAAATGGGGGATTTCCGAAAATAGGGTACCTTTTTTGGTGGTCCCTTTTGGGGGATTCCATGCTACATGGGGTATGAAAAGGGGTACCCCCCCTATTTCCAAATCAGCATGGCCAGGCCTGCAATGGCTTGACGACGGGTCTGACTTGCGCCTCTCCAAATGATCAGCTGTTCTTGTCAGGGTTTCGGGGTGGGTTTGGGGCTCCCGGCCCCCCCCCCCCCCCTAACCCTAAGCCCTAAACCTGAAAGAATGACCCTCCAAGTTAAACCCTGACCCTTCAACACCTAAACCCTAAACCCTAAGCCCTAAACCACTAAACCCTAAACCCTAAACCCTGCACCCAGGTGAGGTGACGTGCAAGCCCGGCTCCACTCCGAACTCGGCGACGATGACCTGCGACGCCAGCGGGGCACTGACCGGAACTCTGCCGCTGCTGGGATGTGGGGTTTAGGGTTTAGGGTTTAGGGTTTAGGGTTTAGGGTTTAGTTTAGGGTGTAGGGTTTAGGGTTTAGGGTTTAGGGTTTAGGGTTAGGGATGTGCTGTAGGCCCCGAAAGAGCCTTAGACCCTAAACCCCAAACCCTAGGCCCTCCTCTGGGAGTTGACGCCAACACTTTCCCTAACCCTATAACCCTAAACCCTAAACCCGAAACCTGAACCTTGAATCCGACACGATACGCTCAGGCTTTGCAAGCCGGCCCTCTGCCCAGCGAGCACCGCTTTGGCGGAGACTTTCTCGCGGGGATCTGGGGGGTGTTTAGGGTTTAGGGTCTATAGGGTTTGGGGTTTGGGGTTTGGGGTTTCGGGCTTCGGTGTTGTGGCCTACATGCTTCAGCTTTTAGGGTTAGGGTCTAGGGTGCTGAGCTGAATGGCTTTTGATGCCCGTGGAGCTCCATGCGTCCTCCACGTACGACCTCTTTGTACCAACAACGTCGACTTTCGAGCCGCCGGAGCTCCGGACATCCTCCAAAGCACCAAAATGCGACGACAGTCTCGCATTTGGCGAAACCCGACATCCCAAAGAGACGACAGTCACGAGGATGTGCCTGTATCGCCAAGACGTCCAAAAGAGACAACCGTTTCGCATTTGGCGAGCCCAGACGTCCAAAAGCGACGACAGTCGCGAGGATGGCGACGTCGATGCCCGCGGCGCCTTGGCGACAGCCCATTGCAAAATCCCCTTAGTCTGACCCGTCCAATGGCCCAAAACGCAGGATTTCACCACGCGTAGCGATGCAAGCCGGGAAACACGCACGGGACCCGGAGAGCACGATGTGGAGAGCACGATGTCCACCCATAAGCACTGCAAAATGCACACGGGGCCTAGGTGAGAGCGCGATCGACAACATCCTCGAAGCCCCAAGCGTGTAACTTGCGATGTTTCGAGGCCCCGAGGAGTTGCGGACGTCACCGCCGCTGCGGAAGAGCACGGTGTCCGCCGAAAATGCGACCCCTGCTCGAGAAGTAGCGTCCGTTTGGGGGGCGTTGACCGCGCTTCACGCCAGAACCCCATAAACATTGTGTGGGCACGCTGTTTGCGGAGAAACGCTTGATCCGACCCTAGCCCGAAACCTTAATGCCTAAACCCTAAACCCGAAACCCTACACAGGAGCCCTCCTTGGCGCACAACTGCGAGGATGTTCCGTTTGGCCGCAGTTGCAGCGTCTTCTGCGCTGAGGGGCCTGCTGGCCAAAACTGGATGGGGGTTGAGGGCTTAGGGTTTCAGGCTTAGGGTTACTGGCCGAAACCTCAAGTCAGAGATCAGCACAACGATATGGCTTTCATGGAGATCCCGCCCTGAATCCGAGGGTCGCGCGCGTTTAGGGTTTTGGGTTTAGTGTTCTCAGCCCTACCTTCTTCATTTTTTGGAGGGGCTGAGGCTTCTGGATCAAAGCAAACCCAAAACGTAGGGGTTAGGGTTTTGGGTTTCGGGTTTAGGTTCAGGGTTGCAGTGAAGAGGCCCTTCCTCCAACCCCCCCCCCCCCCGCACCTTCCACTTTTGGCAGGTATCAGCTGAATGGGACTGACGCCGGAGAGGTTGGGCACATGAACAACCCCCAAAAGCCTAAAGCCAGACCGCTATACCCTAAATCCTTATCGAATGTTCACTTGCCATTGTTAACCCCCCCTCCCCCCTTCTCCCCTTGACTGATTCATTGGGGTTTTTAGGGTTTTAGGGTTTGAGGGTTTAGGGTTTAGGGCTAGGGGTTAGGGTTTAGGGTTTAGGGTTTAGCGTTTAGGGTTTAGGGTTTAGCTCTTACCCCAATTCGCTTCTTTCAGCCGAAACCATGGTCGCGGCCCCCCTTCGGAAGAGGCAGAAAGAGTGCTAGTCCCGACCTTATGGGTTTAGGGTTTCGGGTTCAGGGTTTAGGGTTTAGGGTTATTCCGTGCCAGAACTCCCTCTGCCTGGCAAGCCGACGAATGAACATCGACAGCCTTTGCTAGCCCTTGATGAGGAAGCCCCTTGAAACTCGAAAGCTTGAAGCCCCGAACATCCTAGTCTCACCACTTGACACTGCAAAACCCAGAGCCCAAAAACCACAAGACCTTAAAACCCCAACCCAACATCCTAACATCCCGAAACCCCGAAGCCCCGAAGCCCCGAAGCCCCGAAGCCCTAAACCCTAAGCCCCTAAACACCAAAGGCCCGAAAAACCCCCCAAGCAGCTCCCACCGCAAGGTCTGGGACTGCGTCCTCGATGGATCCGGTGGGCTTGTGCTGACCGGATCCGTCCCGCCCTGTGCTCGTGGCATGCGGTGGAGAGGGTTTAGGGTTTAGGGTTTTGGGTTTAAGGCTTTTGGGCTTATAGGATGTAGGGCTTTGAGGGTTCCTGCAGGGCTTCGGGTTTCGGGGTTCAGCGGGAGTTCGCGAGCTTGCTTTGGGACACTGGTCCCGTTTGGTGTGCTGTGTGGTATTGGCACCACGAAAACCACACGCCTGTCTTATTTCGCTTGGTTGGGGGGTTGGGCGCGCGGCCCAAAACTCCAATCCCAAGCCCCAAAGCCCAATTGCGACAAGAGATGGACGAGGCTCTAACCCTTGTCTCGAAAACGCCTGGTCTTGAAGGCATGCATGTAACACCGAGGCGACAGTGCATATTGGCGTGGTCTTGGGTTCGAGAACCCGTATGCCATAACATTGGCCCAAGTCAGGGGTATACTGCACTTGCCACGTCACATGCCGCTGGTCCAGTCCTGAACGCGCGCTTGCACAGTGGTGCAACGGTTTTGCACTAGCAATAGGACTCAGAATCATTTATTTTCATGGCTATGATGACGATACAAAAAGGTAATGGCCCTAAACCCTAAACCCCAAACCCTAAACCCTAAGCCCAAAACCCTAAACCCTAAACCTTGTCAAAACCCTAAACATTCTTATCTGAAGCCACCCTTGGCCCAGGCGAGCCCATCATCTGCCCCAGTTTGAATCCCAGCGAAGTTTTGGTTGACAACTGCAGCAACATCCCGGCCGGAACGCACCTCGACTCGGTTGAGAATTTTTAGGGCTTCGGGTGAGCCCGAAGCCCTCCTAAGCCCTAGGCCCTAAGCGCTAAGCCCTAAGCCCCAAGCCCCAAGCCCTAAGCCCTAAGCCCTAAGCCTCAACCCTAAACCCTGAACCCTCTGCCCTAAACCCTAAGCCCCTAAACTCAAGCCCCAAGCCCCCAAACCCCCCAACAGCCCCCTGGAGCCTGAGGGCCTGCGAACAGCGCTGCATAGAGGGCTACGTGCCCGCGGCCTGGCAGAATTGGAGTTCATGCGGTGCAACCCCAAACCCTAAACCCTAAACTCTAAGCCCTGAACCCTCAACCCTGAGCCCCAGCCCCTTAGGGCACCAGAAAGGAAGCCATGGCTGGCCCAAATCTAAGACGCTCCGGCCCGGCTCAAGCTGCCGACCCCACAGGAGAACAGGGTGTAGGGTTTAGGGTTTAGCGGCCAACCCCACTGAGATAAGGCAAGGTCCCCCTTCAGCAGGGAGCTTTGCAGTGTGGGGGGGTGGGGCGGCTTTGGCGAAGGTTGGGGGGGAGGGTAGGCGGTCCGTGCAGTAGGCAGTTGAAGAGTTTTAAGGGAGGTTTAGAAGCACGCCAAGGGCGGGGGGTCGGGGGTTGTCGGGTGGAGGAAAAAAGGCTGGTTTCACCTCCGAAACCCGTGCAACACGCCGCCAGGGTCAGCGGAACCTAAACCCTAAACCCTAAACCCTAAACCCTAAACCCTAAACCCTAAACCCTAAACCCTACACCCTAAACCCTCCCTAAACCCTAAACCCTAAACCCTAAACCCTAAACCCTGAACCCTGAACCCTGAACCCTGAACCCTGAACCCTGAACCCTGAACCCTGAACCCTGAACCTGAAACCCTAAACCCTAAACCCGAAACCCTGTGAATGAAGAAGCTCCAGCGTGCTCCTTTCGCCTGCATAGCGTCAGACCGATATTTTGAGTTGCCCTACAGATACCGCAATGGTTATACGTCAATCACAAGCCCAGCCCTAAGCCCGAAGCCCTAAACCCTAAGGAACTGTTAGGGTGCTTTCGGGTTGAGGGCACGAAAAGCAGGTGAACGCATCCGTAGCGGTCTATTCCTGTGACATGGACGGGCAGATCGCGAACAACGGCGACAGCGTGGCATGCGCCTGCGACAGTCTACAGGGTGGGGACTGAGATATAGGGACCCAGGTTTCAAGCTGGAGTTGAGGGGTTTCGGCTTTGGGGAGTTTGGGGTTTCGAGTCTAGCGTTTAGGGGCTTGGGGTGTAGTTTAGGGGTCAGGGAAGGTTTGGGTTGGGGCTGCGCGGGTTGCGGGGGTAGCGAGACGCTCTGCGCGATTTTCTAAATCGTCTTGTTCGGCTCAAGCCGGACATCAGCTGTTATTTCTATTGTTATTAATTGTTTTCGTTTGTTTGTATAACTACGATTGTTATGCTGCTTGTTGATATTGTGTTCTTACTACTCGAAGTACTGTTATGGTTGTTGTTTTACTACAATTACTTTGATGGTTATTGTTATGGATGTTATGATTCTGGGCCTTATCCCCCACCCGGACGCCAGCGGCCCAAGAGAAGCCGCGACCATGTCCTGTCGGCTACTCCCAGGCGTGCGAGTCGCTTGCAACTCCAGCATCAACCTGCCGAATGTGTTGCACACCTGTGATGATGCGGGCTGGCGGCAGGAAAGTCTTTCAGGGTTTAGGGTTGAGGAATTAAACCCTAAACCCTTAACCCTTCTGTTGGGGGTTAGGTTCGCTCTATGGACCCCGCGGACCAATCCGGGATACGCCCGTTCTTCCTAGGTGCTTGTAAGGAAGCCCAATCCGACTGAAGGTTTGGAGGTTCTTAATGAAGTTCCACCCTAAACCGTAAACCCTAAACCCTAAACCCTAAACCCTAAACCCTAAACCCTAAACCCTAAACCCTAAACCCTAAACCGTAAACCCTAAACCCTAAACCCTAAACCCTAAACCGTAAACCCTAAACCCTAAACCCTAACCCCTAAACCCTAAACCCTAAACCCTAAACCCTAAACCCTAAACCCTAAACCCTAAACCCTAAACCCTGAACCCTGAACCCTGAACCCTGAACCCTGAACCCTGAACCCTGAACCCTGAACCCTGAACCCTGAACCCTGAACCCTGAACCCTAAACCCTAAACCCTAAACCCTGAGGTTCTTAATGAAGTTCAACCGTTGAAAGTTGAGGGGTTGAGAGTGACTTTGATTCTTCCTGGTCAGCCCCCAGCTTCGGGCTTGGTGTCGTGGGGGATTTGGGGGGGTGGTAGGATTTTTAGGAGTTTCGGGCTTTCAGGGCCCATTTTTTTAATTCTTCTTATTACTGTTTTGGTGATTTCATTTGTTATATTATTAGTACCACTATTAGTATCATTACTACTATTATTCTTATGATGATGATTATTATTAGTAGAATGAATGATATTCTTGGTTGTGTGCTCTGTGAAACGTGCCATGTCTGACATCCTGTGTCGGCACCCGCAGCCCAGGTCCAGGCCAACAGCTCCTGCTACGCATACTGCCGAGATGGCTACGAGATGCAGCAGAACGAGGCCAGGAAGAGGGCCATCTGAGGTGGGTTGGGGGTTGAGGGTTGAGGGTTCAGGGTTTAGCAAGGGGACACCTTCTGCCGGAATCCATATCCCCAAGGGTGCCCACGAGCCTTGAAAGCTCAAGCACGGAAACCACAAAAAACCCCCCTACTTCGGCGGCCCGAAGCCCGAAGCCTTAAACCCTAAGCCGCTAAGCATTGGGACTTCGGTTTGGCGGCCACAACTTGGGATGTTCCCCTTACTCTAACAGTCCTTAATAGGGATGATAAAGGTGGGGGCACCTGAATCCCGATTAAGGACTGTTAGTATAAGGAGGAACATCCTCAGCCTTAAACCTTAAGCTCTAAACCCTCAGACCGTTTTGGGATTATGGTACACCCTACTATAATCCCCTATTTAGGCGCCTGTAAGTATAAGGGGGGAACATCCCAAGCAATACTTGTCGAGGTGCCCATGTGGACTTGTGCCACTGCCGGCAGTGGACTGCCCGTCGTCAGCAACGTGCCTCCCATCGAGCCTTTTGTGGCAGAACGGGGTTGAGGGCCGACGGTTCTCGGGTTGTCGGGTTTAGGGTTTAGGGTATAGGGTTTGCGGGTATGAGGGTTGTAGGTTTCTGTTAGGGTTTATGGCTGAGGGCCGAGGGTTCAGGGAAGAAGGTTCAGGGTTCTTGGTTTCTATTGTCTGGACCCAGGGTTGGAACCTGTGTAGGGCTGTTAAGAACGCGGCCTGCGCCAAGGATGGCTACTCCCTTCGTGGGGCCTTGCCGGCGCTCTGACTTTATAGCTACGGCCTGTGGAGTTTGCAGGTGCTTCGGGTTTTTGCGTTGCGGTTTTCGGGTATGAATCAAAGCCCAAACCCCGTAAAGACGAGCATCGCACCACGAGCAGGGTGTCGTTCTCGGCCTTGGCTCATTCACCTTCCCTCCCTTCTCGACGCAGGGTTCAGGGTGCACAGTGCGTAGGTGTAGGGTTTTGGGTTCGGGCCCAAGAGCCCAAGCTTGAAGCACAACCCCCAAAAGATCCGGGCTCTTGGTCCCTAAACCCTAAACCCTAAACCCTAAACCCTAAACCCTAAACCCTAAACCCTAAACCCTAAACCCTAAACCCTAAACCCTAAACCCTAAACCCTAAACCCTAAACCCTAAACCCTAACCCCTAAACCCTAAACCCTAAACCCTAAACCCTAAACCCTAAGTAAGGGCTGCGGGGTAGTTGGGGCATTTTGGGGGGTGCGGCCCACGGATTTGTGTTGTCCCCCCCCACACCTCAAGCCGCAAAACCCAAGCCTGAACCCTGAACCAACTCCAGGTTGAGTAGAGGGCTTAGGGTTTAGGGCTAGGGTTTAGGGTTTAGGGTTTAGGGTTTAGGGTTTGGGGTTTAAGGTTTAGGGCTGTATGACTTTGGGGTTTAAGGTGCTATGGCTTAGGAGATCAGTGCTTCGAGGGGTAGTGGGATCTGAGGTCTGCGTGGCACTGCCCTGCCTCTACAACCTCCCCTTCGGCCTGGAGTATACCCACGACTGCGATGGCGCGCTGCCCCTCGGCCTAGCCGATACCCTAAACCCTAAACCCTAAACCCTAAACCCTAAACCCTGAACCCTGAACCCTGAACCCTGAACCCTGAACCCTGAACCCGGAACCCTGAAACCCTCAGCTGTCAACCCTCAACCCTCAACCCTCAACCCTTAACCCAAAACCCTAAACCCTAAACCTTAAACCCCAAAAGGGTGAGGTTCGGACGCTAAGTGGGCGTGGGCTCCTGGTGCGTGAAGTCCGTAGCCCGAAGCCTCTTGCGGGATCGTAGGAAGGGACCGAGGGTTTAAGGTTCAGGGTTTAGGGTTTTAGGATTTAGGATTTAGGGTTTTAGGGTTCAGGGTGTTAGGGTGTTACGGTTTGGGGTTTACGGCTTAGGGTTCAGGGCTTTATGGTTTAGGACTTTAGGGTTTAGGGTTTTGGGGATTTTAGGATTTTTGGGTTTTTAGGACCCTTAGAAAGGGCTCCGCCTTTTGTCACTGATATCCTCGCTTTTCTTCACTTTCTTGGGGACTTTGAGATTAGTATTTTGTTGGTTTTAGAGTTTAGGGCTTTGGGCTTGTTTTGTTAAGTTCGTTCCCTGAGTGCCGCAGCTGAGAGTCCAAGGTTCAGAGATTGCATGGTTCCCAGAACCCTAGCCTTCAAGCCCGAAGCCCCGAGCCTTAAACCCTAAACCCTACTCAGGGTTTTTGGCTTCAAAGGGTTTGGGCCCCAGTTTGGGCATATTTTTATTTTTTTTGGGGGGGGGGGGGGGGGGTCCAGGAGTTTAGGGATGGTTCGGCTCTTCAACATAGGGCCCCGGCAAGGCCTTGGGGATTTGGGTTTAGGGATAAAGGGGTTTAGGGTTTTGGGTTAGGGTTCAGGGGTTTCGGGTAAAGACTCGACAGTTCCGGGTGAAACCGGGTCGGGATTAGGGTTCGGTTGGTTCGAGAAATAGGCTCATAGGCAGGATCGCCATTTTGCATTTATGTATGAATCAATTCAGGTCAAGAGCTCGCACTCATGGTGGGCTTCCAACAGACCAAAACCACGGAAGCCCTAAACCCAAAACCCAAAACCCAAAACCCAAAACCCAAAACCCTAAACCCTAAACCCTAAACCCTAAACCCTAAACCCTCCTCACAGCTCGAGGACGGACACAGCTTGCACAGTCGCCTGTGCCGCAGGCTTTGAGGGCCCGTCAAACGTCTGGACCTGCCACTGGGCTTAAGGTTTAGGCTTTCGTGCCCCCTTGGCTACCGAGACCCTCGTACCCCATGACTCGCTTGAAATGGCGCACGGAGTGATGCTGTTCCACGAGATGAATCCTTTTGGGGGTTTTGGGGTTAGTTTCGTTGGCAGGATTGTTCCCGCGCCGCCCTCAGTAGCAGGAGCTAGGTGGGGTTTGCCCTGCCCTCACAAAGTAGCGGTAGGCGAAGCTGTAGCGCTACGGAGAAGCAGAGTCTCACTCACCGTCCCTGCGCCCTGCTCGGTTTGGGAGTGTGTGCAGGGTGCCCCCTTCCCCAGGCCAACCGGATGGATTGCTGAACGGCACTTATCCTTTGTGCCTGGAGGCTTGAAGCCCTAAACCCTGAACCCTAAACCCGAAGCCCTAAGCCCTAAACCGATTGAGGGCTTCGTGTTTTTTTATGGGATTCTTGAAGGTGGGGGGTTCAAGGGGGGCTATGTAACCCAAGGTTCCCTTATACTCCCCCACTACTCCCGCAACCCCCCCCAGGAAGGCTCCTTCAGCTTCCCTAAGCATCCCTAGGTACCTACCCCGCATGAATCCCACCCTTAAGAGCCCTATAAGTTTAGGCTGTTGGGATGGACGTGAGGAAAAGGTGTCGGATCAGGGATGTCGGATAAGGTCATGGAGTGAAGGGTAAGTGGAGATAGCCCCCCCAGAAAAGGAAACCTGCGGGGGTCCTAATGCTTCGCCCTTAAGCACCTGCCCTAAATCCTAAACCCTAAACCCCAAACCCCGAACCTCAAGCCCCGAACCCTAAGCCCGAGCGCCATGCCAGATTACCACAACAGAGACCTCCGTCACCTTCACGACGACCTTCACAGCCGTCGCCTTAGAGCGGCCTCCGTCAGGAAGAGGCTTAAACTCAAACCCCAAACCCTAAGCCCTAAACCCTAAACCCGAAACTGTAAAGTCGAAAGGTTTAGGGTGTCTCGGGGCTTCGGGTTCTCATAGACACCGGCAGCCAATGCATTCGAGGTTCAAGGCCTTGTTCTGAGTTTGCTCCCGAGGCGACGACGTTCACAACTTCTTCCACGACGTTCTGGAATGGAACTGTCCTACTGAGCGGGTACATCTACCTTGCACCGCCACTGGACGTGTTGTGGGTTCCAGGTTTTAGGGAGGTTTGTGTGTCTGTAGCCTCCAAAACGCAGAAGCAACAACCACAAGCTTTTGGTCTGCCAAGGGGTTCGCTGTTAAATTTGCCACGCTCTGTCAACGGCCGGCTCGATACAATCTGGGCTTGTTTACTGGGGCTGGGGAAGAAATGATCTGGCCCCTAAACCCTAAACCCCCCTAAACCCCTGAACCACCCGAAAACATCCTGAAGAGAAGCTAAGGACTGCCATTGCCGATGTTTCACCCATGGATCTGCCGTGGCCCCGGTTGGAGTTCAGGATTCGGGGTCTCGTTTTTTTTTGGGGGGGGGGGTTACGTGGTTTGCAGGTTTCTTGGCTAGAGTTTATGAGGTTTTGCGCGGTTTACAGGGTTTCTCGGGTTTCAGAGGGTTGCTTCTAGGTTCTGTAAGGCTGATTGGGTCCGCCGAGCCCCCCTAAGGATGGATGGCTTCGTGAACGACTCGCAGGTTTCCGAAGGCCGTGGCGGGAGGGCAGCGCTGCAATGCTGGGTTTGCCAGAGGTCTAGGCCCTCAGCCCTAAACCCTAAACCCTAAGCCCTAAACCCTAAGCCCTAAACCCTAAACCCTGAACCCTAAACCCTAAACCCTAAACCCTGAACCCTGAACCCTGAATGCTGAACCCTGAACCCTGTGGCTTTGAGGTTGGGGTTTAGGGTTTTGGGGTCAAGGGTTTCAGGGTTCAGGGGTTTAGGGGTTCAGGGGTTTAGGGGTAGAGGGGTTTAGGGGTTCAGGGGTTTAGGGGTTCTGGGTTAGGGGTTTTAAGGTTTGGGGGTTTAGGCTTTAAGGTTTGGGGTTTTTCGCACCTTCTGGGGCAGAAGTCGGAGGTCTGACCAATGCGCTCGCGTCGCTCCTCAACGTCAGCGCCGTGTCGGCGGATGCTCGGCTCTTGCTGGGGTTCTTCGTAATGAAGTCATGAATGCGGGAGAGATTGGGGTCACTTGGATCCAACGAGTGGTTGCTCCGACCTTAAACCCCAAACCCAAAACCCACAACCCTAAACCCTAAACCCTAAAGCCTAGACCCTAAACCCTAAACCCTAAACCCTAAACCCTAAACCCTAACCCTCAAGCCCTGCAACCCTAAATGCTTTGTTGTCAAGCGAAGGAGGTGGTGATCACCTTCAACGAGAGCTTCAACAGCCAGGCTCCATTCCCTGATCCCCAACACCTATGACATCCTAAAGCCCTGAGACGCCGAACCCTAAACCCTAAACCCTAAACCCTAAACCCTAAGCCCTAAGCCCTAAACCCTAAACTCAGGGCCTAGGCCGCCCCCCTACAGAGCTCTGGCCTGGCTCTGCCTCAAACCCTCTAAAACCTCTCCTTTTCTATGCAGCTGAAACCCGTGCTACAAACGAGCCGGGACCCGGCCTCGAACCTTTCCCTTGGCTGAAAGTGGCCATCGGTGACGGAAAGGTAAAAAAAGTAAGCGATTGTCATGAGTTTAGGCCTAAACCCTAACAGGAACAGGTTTGGGTGGTTTTGCCGCCTCGGACGGCGCGGGGTGGGAGAAAAATATTAGATGGCCCTCCACAATCGGGCCAGAGCTGCTCTTCGCACCTGACGAGGCATTCGAGCCGCTGCTGCATCCTAACCTTCACAGCATCTACGCCCTATTACAGCAAACCCTAAACCCTAAACCCTACACCCTAAACCCTAAACCCTTAACCCTAAACCCTAAACCTAAACCCGAAACCCGAAACCCAAAACCCTAAACCTTATCCCAAAACCCTAAACCCTAAACCCTTTAAGGCGGCCCGTGTTGCCTACACCGCTGACCGCGCCTTTTACACCCAGCAGGTCGCCCGACGCGAAAAGGTATGGGCTGTTTGCGCTCGAAGACGCGCTTGGGGTTCAGGGGCCCCGGGTTTAGGGGACCCTAGACCCTGAACCCTGCACCCTAACACCTAAACCTTTGCACCCTACACCCTAAACCCTACCCTACACCCTAAACCCTAAACCATCCTAAACCGTAAGCCCGGTGTCCTACACCGGGTGGGGGTCAAGGGTTCGGGGCTTAGGGATGCGTTCAGCTTGTCCCCGCCCTTGTTGTGGGGTTGTGAGATGTTATCTCAGCTGGTCCTGAGCCCCTAGAGTTTCTGAATTGCCCGATCCTGCCAGAGGAGCCCTGTGGAGCTCCCATTTCCAGAGCATGAATCCCGCAAAGTACCCCAGCGGACCCCCAGAGACTGCAAAGCATCGGGTTTATTTTTCAGCGGACTTAGATGCATTCTCCATTTTTGTTTTTCGTGGCGGGGGGAGGGGGTTTTCCGCCGAGAATTCCTGGACCCACGTTGCAGCTCTTGCAAAGTTGGTGGCGTTTAGCTCAAATCGTCAAAGGTTAGAATCCTTATATTGATGGGCCTTTTGAAGTGTTGAGTTTTTGAGAAGTTTCCTTGAGCTCTCTTAACTTTTGTCAAGAATACTTTTTCTCACTACTTCTTCGTAACTCCAGCAGTAGGTCGTGGCTCTTTACTGAGAATCTTCCTCATTCTTGTTTGTCCTCAAGGAGTGCAGTCGCCCAATGCCCCACAAAACAAAACAGTCTATCAACCACATCTGAAACCTCAAGACTCCAGACTTGGGACCTTCCCCCATCTACTAACAGTCCTCATTGGGAATTATAGTACCCCCCTATGATATTCCTTATTCAGGATTGTTAGTCTAGGGGGGAGCATCCCAACTCAAGGTCCAAAAATGAGCGCCCGGCGCCCTGAGGCCCGATCAACCCATAGCCCCAGAACTCCCAAAAGCTAAACCCTAAACCTAAACCCTAAGCCTTAAACCCTAAACCCTACACCCTAAACCCTAAACCCAAAACCTAGACCCTAAACCCGACATCCAGAAGCTTTCCCAGGAAGCTGAGAACTTCACCCAATCAATCCTTGAGTCCGTCAACGCCAGTGCGACGGAGGAGGTCCGGTTGTTCAGGGATGGTTTAGGGATTTCCGGCTACCAAGCCCTCAACCTCAAGCCAAAACCCTAAACCCTAAACCCTGCACCCTGAACCCTACACCCCAAACCCTAAACCCTACACCCTAAACCCTAAACCCGCTGGACCCTAAACCCTAAACCAGACATTCCCTTCCAGCCTGCTCAGGCCGCACCCACCCCTTTCGTGCCCTGGACCCAGAGTTTCCACCACTTCAGCCCCAAGGTTGAGTGCTTTAGGACCACTAAAGGTGGTGCCTCCTACAAGAGGGAGCCCCCGCGATCCTCTTGATGAGAACATCTTCTAGAGCCAAAAATGCTCATCGGACCCCCCTTTCTGGCCCCCAAAAAACCTGAGATCTCTGCCAAGCGCCCGCAAAATGTTTGGCGTCATCGAGTTTTAGGCAGTACCGCCCCCCCCCCCCCGCCTCCCACACCCTTGGTGCGTCGGGGCGCCATTTCCGCGTGGTGATTGCTGCCGCTGCGCGGCGAGACGCAAAAAAGCCATGCCCGAGCCCTCACCCCAAACCGGGCCATCAAACAGTCTGTGCCAGGTTTTTTGGGGGGTCTTTGGCTTCGGCTGGGTGGGTACCGTGGTGGTTGCCGTGGGTACCGTGGTACCGTGGGGTCGCCGCGGAACCGAAAAGGGATTCAGGGTTTAGGATATAGGGGTCTTGGCACCCCAAGCCCGTTGAAGGTAAGGAACCTGAGTTGAGATTCAGTGAGCCAAACCATGTGCCTCCCAAGCCCCTTAAGGTTTAAGGAAACCAATGGAAGTCCAGGTCAAAGAGCTCATCAACGACCACCTGGGCTTGGCTGGGCGCTGAGACCACCCACCTAGAGCCCCCCCAAGCCCCCTGAACCCGTAAGCCCTTGGCCCAAACCGCCGAGGCCCTAAGCTCTAAACCCTAAACCCGAAAGCCCACTCCCTGCAAGTCTCTAAACTCGAGTATGGGTATTCAAGGGGCCTCCTCAAAGTGTGTCTTCGGCGCTGCAGTTCAAGCATCCGATGGCTGGAAGCGTGCAGAGTTCAGGGTTTACGGGGGTTTGAGGTTCATAGGGTTGAGGGGGTTGAGAGGGTTTTCCGGATGCCTAGGATTCGGGGTTTCCGAGGTCAACTCGAGCTACCACATTGGGGAGCTCTTCCTGCGTCCCGGCCGAAACCCATAAAGTGAAACCTCCC